TTAAGCGTTTGGCACGAAATCGTCAGGCGGCTGACCTCAAAGAAACAAAAAAAAAACCAAAACTGAAAGAGGAAATTCACAAAAAAAATGGGAAAAAAAGGGAAAAAATAAAAGCTGAAGGCAAAGAAAGAAAACGTTGAATGAATGACGCTCAGAGAAATTACAACGCGTCCTATGCTCCAATACAAATAAGAAGAACCCAAAACTGAAAACCGAAAACCGAACCAAAACTGAAACCATTGAACAAACCACTAGCCGCAACCACAACTTGCCCCACTCGTTTGCCTCACCGGACACTCAGCAGAAACGTGAAGCACATCAAGCTGGCCTCTAACTGCGAACAGCTTCGCGTGAGCGACAACTTAAGTTCCCCAACAAGTAGGCGCACCACCCAATCCGACCCAACCACCCAATGCACACACACACACACACACGCATGCACAACATGTGAGTGTGCAAAAGTTTTGCGGCACAGCAAAAGCCACTCACAACTGAAACCACTTGGAACAAGCCTTCCTTTTTTTCCGCCTCAGCCAGGATAAGACGCAGAAAGGGGCAACAGTTGGAGTGCAAGGCGAAGAGAGAGAGCGAGAGAGAGGGGGGCGTGAGAGAGTGAGGGGCATTCGTGCGACCCACAAAGCAAGTGAACTGTGGACTCATGTCGCAATGCTGTGGCACAGCTCTAAGCTAGCCACCAGATGGCAGGTGGCAGCTGCCACGCGTTTGCCCTCGGCCCACATTGTTGTACACAAATTGCTCACGCTCGATGTCAGAGATCTTCGATGCCATGCAAATTCATTAAACAACGTGTAGCCCTCCCTCGGTTGAGGTTGTCTGCCCCACGGGTATAGCCACACCTGCAACTGCAACTGCACTAGCAGCAGCAGCAGCAGCAGCAGAAAGTCCTGCGCTTCCTGGACAGCCGCAGTCGCAGTTTGCTAATCGCCTCAGCTGATGGCTGCTGTCTGCTGTCTGCTGTCTGCTGTCTGCCTGTCACCCCCTCTCATGCTCGCTATCTCTCTCCCTCATAAAACACACTTCCGCTGTGCATATCCTGTTTGTAATCGATTTCAAAATGTGCAGCAGGAACGTGACAGCAACAGCAACAGCAACAGCAACAGCAACAGAGGCAGCAGCAGCGACAGCGACCAGAACTTTTAAGAAACTTAACAGCTCGCCATTTGAACTAGCACAAATAGCGAACAAAGCTGATGTACGAATATGAAACACTCTATTGAAAATGTTTGATATAGCTATATGAATTCATATATATCTGCTCTTCTTGAATATTGTCAAGAGAGAAGTGGGCTTAAGTGCAAAATAGTAATTAAAATGTTAAGCATGAAATTCTTAAAACTTAAAGCCAGACGAATTTACCTGCATTCGACTGACTATATATTTTTAGTATTTTATTATATATATAAGTGTAAAACGAAAACTTTTGAGGTAGTCTTGGCTACAAAATCAAAAATAGATTAGTTTACATGCCTAGCTCAGAGCAACAATGGAGAAAAGTTAGGGAAACACAGACTAAAAATGGGCAGAAATTGCCTCAATTGGCGCAAACAAAATCTTAATTAAATTGAAATTTGACGCCTGTTAAAATGTTAAGTTCAAATAGAAATATTTTATACTTATAATCACTCAATTTGTGAATAGTATAAATTAAATAGTATAAATTAAATTACTGAAATTATATAAAACATCTTTTTTCTTTTCATATTGCTACTCTTTCATTTTAAGCAGCTTAGCAATTCTAGAAGAAAGTTTCAAAACTATCTTTATAACTTCTTAATAACAGCTTGAGAATCTAACTCGTATTAAACCCACTGTCATTTTGCCAAATAGACTTATTAATATATTTACTTAAAAACAAAACTTTTTAAGCTTTATTCTAGCAAAACTTAGTTTTCTTTAGGAACCAGAAGTTTTTTCTTTTTTATTTTTGGCAAAACTTGCTCCACTACTTTTTGAATAGTTTCTAATGGAAAAATTAAAGAGTTTAACAGTTGCTAAAGTCCATTGTGCAACACTGGCTGCACTTAAGTAGCTAATACTCTCCTCTCCTCGTTCACTTTGAATGTGCTTAAAATGCAAATGCCTAATGTTAGGGTATGCAAAGTTGAAGTTGAAGTTGAAGTTGAAGTTGAAGCCAAAAGCACAAACGACAAACGACAAATGACAAAAAGAAAAAAAGTACAAAACAAAGAGCGGGTGCAGCAAAAGTACAAGAAGAAGAAAAACGAATTAGCAATAAACGTGCGCGCACGCGAAGGCAGCCCCAAAGGTGGAGCGTCTAGCGTCCCCGCCTCAGGGGCAATGCCAAACCCCCTGCACAGCTGTTGTCCAGTGCCTCAATGCAGCAGCGCCTCGTGGGTGTTTGCTGCTAAAAAGGGCTAAAATCAATAAAATGCTTGTTGCTTCTAAAACAACAGCAACAGCAACCATAGAGCAGCTATGACGACAGCAAACGCCGACGGCTTCGTGGACTTCTTTCAATGTACAATTATATTGGTTGGCTGTGCCACACCCTAAATCCCCTAGCACTTACCCTTCTGGGCACGCCTCATGCCTCTGGCCACACTGCAACATAAATAGTTGCGTTTTTTGCTGCTGCTGCTGCTGCTACTGCTGTTGTTGTTGTACTTTATGTGGTGCTGAGCCAGCGAAAATGTTTGAAATTCCTTTGCTAAAGTTTAAGTCTGCCCCAACTACCGCTGCCTGCCTCTCGCTCACTCTCTTTCACTGGCACTTCTAGTGTCCCTTTTTAGTGGCATAAATGGCTGACAGAATGCTTGAGGCCACATTCCATGTTGCATGATCGAGATGCCAGCGAGTTATTATGACGAACTTTGTTAATTGGAAAATATGCACAACCAAAATGTTTGTCTTTAATCGATTGGGCATGTGGCCCCATCTGTCCGTCTCTCCCACTCTGTGTCTCTCTCGGTCTCTGTGTACTTAGTTGTTGACAGTTGGTATTTAGGTTTTCTTAATTCCAATCAAAAATTGACTGCAACGAATCAATCAATCAAATTGGCACAAATTACGAAGCGAACTCTGATTATATGGCTGCTTCCTCAGCTACTGCTTTTGCTATTGCTTGCTCTGCTTCTGCTTCTGCTTCTGCTTCTGCTTCTTCTCGTTCTTTTGTGCTCATACATGACCTTATATTAGCCATAAAAGCGCTATAAATTGAGTCTTCGTTTCTGTGTAAGTGTGTGTGTGTGTGTGTGTTTCGCGTCTTTTCGCCACTGCAAAATGCTTTTGTGAAATGCAATTTCTGTTGCCTGTCATTGATCAGGGACAGCCTTCCCTTGCTCCTCCCTTGCTCCTACCCCACTGCCCTCTGCCCACTGCCCTCTGCCCTTTGCCTGCTTCCGCTTGACTTCGTCGAGTATGGAGCTCATCAATATGGCTGTGCGGCAGTGTGACCAAAGCCAATTGTGCAGCCAGCAGCTGCTGACATGTCGCACAGCAGACGTTACGTTACGTTACGTTTCGCAAGCACCCTACATACGCCCCACACCCCTTCCCACCGCCTACATTGCCTCCCCCCACCACACGCCTCGTTAGTTGCCCGTCGCATTCATTTTCCATTTGCGAACAAAACACATGACGACATTTTGTTGTTTGCTCAGTGTTTAGTTGCCTTCTGTTTGTCTCTGTCTCTGTCTCTGTCTCTGCCTCTCTGTGTTTGTGTTGTATGTGTGTGGGCGTGGCGCGACCCTCCCCACCCCCTTGTTTTTAATACCTAGGCGCTACGTTTTTAGTGGTTCGTCGTTTGTCGACTTGCCTATTTGACTTGCATTAGCTATTGTTTGACCCACTCTTATTTAGCAAGTGCGAGTGATTATGCACACGCAACTGAGCCGTTAGCTTGTTGTTGCTGTTGTTATATATGGGGTTAAGTTAGTTGGGCTTATTCCAAGACTAATAAAACAGGAAGTAAATGGAAGTTTAATGCAGAGAGAAAGAGAGAGAGGGAGATGGGAATGGTCTTAGATGTACTTTGCGTGTTGTTGTACAACTTTTGTTTTGATTTATATATATTAATGGGTATCTCAGAGTCGTATCAACTCTATGCTGGCATTTCGGTATATGCAATAAGAGAGTGCAGAGCTGTGAAGGGAGTAACAGCTACCTTTCAGATGTTTACAGATATTGTACTACTTACAGGGTAGCTGCTAGTCGTGCATGCCGGCAGAAAAGCAAACTCATATATTATAATGTAAATTGAGAGTAAAAAAAGCAACATAGAGAAAGCTAAGATGTTATTGGATAGCAATACCATATCATACTCTTACAGGGTATTCTATAGTCGTGCTGCTTACTAGCACCAAAGAAAGTCAAGCAAAAGGGAGCTGAAGTGCTGCCTTCGCTGCTTTTAAGCGTTGAATAGACTCTTTTGTACAGCTTACAGGGTATCTGTTAGTCAAGCCTGCCAAAGTTGGCGTAGTCTTTAATTGTTATGGCTGCCGTGCTGGGAGCCATTGAGCGCCTGTTGTTGTCACGGCTGTTGACGCTGCCCGTTGCCAATGACAACCAACACTCGCATGACAAACACTACACACTAACACACACACACTACACTTACACACACACACACACACACACACAGCTGTATGCACTGCAGTACAAAGTATGCTTTCAATCAGGCGCTGAATTGAAAATCCATTAACGAGTACATAGCGAAGGCAACTGGTCGCAGACAGCGAGCGGTTCGCTCCACGGGTGGGGACGGCCAAGTGCAACCAGCGGGTTGGGCGTGGCAGGTACTTGCAAGTCATGGCTACGTTCGTTATATTTTCTGCAACAATAAAAACAAATTTGCAACAGGAGCAGCAGAGCAGCGAAGCAGCTCCGCAAGTCACATGCAAAATAAAGGAATAAAAGAGAAATAGTAGTTGCAGGACGAAGGATATATAGCCTGCACACCACACCACACATACACACACACACACACACGTAAATATTACAACTGCGAGTGCATTTTTAAGTAATTCAAGAAGCGGCAACAAAAAGCGCAAGAAGTGTGACAATATTTCGAAGCCGAATTCGAAACGTTAACGAAATCAAAGTCAATATCTGGCAAAGAAAAAAGTGAAAAATATAACGGAGCAAACCCCCCGAAAGACCCGCAACCCAATAAACCGAACGAGTTGAGCCTTATTGACGATGCTAACCTGCGTGTGTCGGCCCGTGTCGGGCAACCTGCCCAAAATGCCGCCCGCCTCACTGATGCCCGCCTCGAGGGCCTCCTCGGCGCTCAGCGCCGGCAGCAACACCGGCAGCTGTGCCAGTGGCATGGGCAGCAGCACCATCAACGGTTCCCATAGTCCCACACGGGTGGTGACATCCGAACCGAAGCTTAACGTAAGTAAACTGCAAACCATCAACTACACTGAAAGAAACTGAATGCAGTCACAAGCCAATCAATTCTTTGGGCTGCATGCTTTACATCTGCATAATTTCTTATAGTATTTGTTCTATTATATTATTTTGTAGTTTTCTATTTAATTCTGATCTGATAAAAGAGCTTTATGTTTGAGTCTGTTTATACTCAAGTTCAAATCCGAACTAGTTTAATATAAAATTCAAAATAAATTGAGCACTTAAGCTGCTTATATAATTGTTCATGATCAAGTACGGAACCAGCTCCAAAAAGCTATCTAGCTTTCAGCTAGTTCAAAAAGCGATTCATGTCTGAGTTTGTTCTTCCTCGTGTATCATTTCGAACCAGTTTAAAATGTATTCTAGTTCGAAATGAATTTGAGGCCTGAGCTAGTTCTTATAGATTAACTATTACGAAGCTAGTTCAAAAAGAAATTCAGGCTTGAAATAGTTTCCTAACAATTATAGTTCGTTCATTTAAGTTTGAAATTTGTTCTGAATGAATACAAATTATATATGTATATATCTGGCAACATGAAGCCTTAATGATTTTCAAATTGTGGCTGAATTTCAATTTTGAATTAGCTGAAAATTAGTTGTGAGTTCTTTGGAGAAAGGCAATGCTTTGCATCATGAACTAGTTCAAAAGCACTAACTCAAAGTCACACGCTCAGTGTCTAATTTTATGTCCAGTGCACGATTAGCTGCAAAATCGAAGCTATGGGCTAACGAGGGAGCGAGGCGTACGAGGCTAACTTTAATCTATTTATGCGAACGTCTCCTTTGTTATTCTCAAAATTTGTTTTTTTTTTTTCTGTTCGTTTTTCCGCTAGGCCCTAAATAAAAAGGTAGCAAATTAGCTTTCATTTTTCACACACATAAACATAACTTGATTTATGGTACTACACTGGGAGGGGGAAGCAACCGGGCCATGACCGTGACCACGACTGCGACTGCGACTGCGGCTCGAGCAGAAGTGGATGTTGACAACTTGACTTGACACTCGACTCCGGACACGACTAGAGCTTGGAGCTGAAGGCAACGATTGCAGATAACGTTTATAAATTGTGGAAATTTCATTTTCACTTTGACGCCATTGATGCCTCCGCCTTCTCGAAGGGGAGGCGCGGCAACGACAACGACAACGCCAATGACACCTTTTGAAGCAGCTTATCCGCAGCTGAATCTCTAACGATCTCTGCACACGGACGGAGTGGGCGAGGGGGACGGCGGGAGGGCGTGTGGTGCGACACCCACTTATGTGTATGACCACTATAATCCACTAATCCCACCCACTTGCTTCATATCTCTATCCCTGATGCAGGTGCCCAGCAGGCTGACGTCAGCCGAGTTGAGGGCGATGGCATTGCGACAGCAGCAGCAAATCGACAGCCAGCACCAGCTGCTGGCCACAAAGGAGCAACGGTTGCGTTTCCTCAAATCGCAAGAGGTGCGCAGCGCTGTGGCCAGCGCCGAGGGGGAGCGATTGCGTCGACTGCGGGAGCGTGTCGAGGCGCAGGAGTCCAAGCTGCGACGCTTACGCGCACTGCGGGGTCAAGTGGATCTGCAGAAGACCTACAATGTAACACTGAGTGAGTATATGAGCTGCAGACTGGGGAGACTGGGGGCGACTGGGGGACACTGGCGGGGGCTAACAAGTGCAGGGCAACTACAAAGTGAAGATGGGTCCAATTGAGTTAAGCATCGCATGCACGACAAGCGCGCTTAGTGGGCGTGGGCGCCCATGCGAGGAGGACGACGGGATTAACATGTGTTAAAATCGTGTTGAGTGGCGCTACCTCAGCATGCGTGTAACTGTATATATGTGTGTGGGTGTGGGTGTCGGTGTCGGTGTGTGTGTGCGGGTGTGTAACTTTAATTTATGTATGTGTGGCACTTTGTTGTCCTTTATGATTGCCTGTGGGTGGCTCTTGAGCTGCCCTGCCAAAGATGTTATCCTTGTTGATGGCCTTGTTATAACCTATACCCATTAGAGATGCATATGATACGGGGTATTTAAAGATGAATTGATTTAACAATCAATAGGCAGCCACAAAACCTGTAAATCATATCATAGGAACAAGGCGATAATCGATAAATGTCGTTTGATCAAATTCATTTATATTAACTTCGATAAGTTTATTTTGTAGACTTAGTTTTAACGCAGCTCTTCAACTCCTTAGCTTATAGTGCTACGTTAAACATGCTACTACTTTCAAGAGAATCTGAGTTATTTTCCCAAATCGATAAATATCGCTCATAAATAATTTTTGTAGTTGAAAGTTTTAGAAGAAACCATCACTTTTTCTATTCTCTGGAGCAATCCTAAAGAAGCTTTGTAAAACTTTTATCAAAATAACAGTTATTAAAGCCTTTCGATTATATGTTACAACATTAATCGATAAACATTCCGTTTGAAAACTTGTCAGAATACAATTAAGTTCAAAATGTCTCAGTTTGCTGAGTATCTAGCAGTCGCGTACTTTAGCCTATCGCATTGTTGTTGGCATTGGCTTTGCTGGCATTGGCGATTTAGCCACGACACCCAACCACGCCCACACACACACACTCACAGACTCAGGCATACACCCGTTGACTAGGACGTTATGTTAATGAGGTTTCAGTTGCGCCTTGTTGGACGATAATTAGTTCAGACAGCATCCGACGGATACGCAGGACCCTACTCAGCGGCATGTGTGACCAGACGTTGCAAATGTTTTAAGGTGTGAATTTCACAGAAATATGCTAACGATTAAAAGATATATATATATATGTATAAAAGGTTAGCGAGAAAATTAATGCTAAAGAGTGAAAGATGTGGGCCAAGAAGTAATGGGAGCAATGACAGGCGCAGGCAAGAAGCGCTCAAGCTAAGCTGATTTTTGTAGAGCATATTTAAGCGGCGACCCCGTTACGCACCTGTGTGTCCAACCGTCTTCAATTAGCGGCGAAAGTGCGCTAACTTCATTAGGAAATAAGCGACTTCGTGGGGCTTTCGACTGCTGGATGGATGGCCAACTAATCCGTTTAACTTTTGTGCTTAGGCAATGACTTGGACTCGATTCGTGCGCTGTTCAGCGAAAAGGAAAAGGAGCTCAGCCTGGCTGTGGCCAAGGTGGAGGCGCTCACACGCCAGCTGGAGGAGCTGCGACGCGACCGACGATGTCCTGTCAATTTGCTGGCCGCAACCGGCCAGACAGCGGCTCAGGCTTTGCCGCCGCAGGCCTCACGGGAGCTCGAGAAGCTGCGACGCGAGCTAATGGTAAGCGTGGGAGTGGGCTGGGAATTGAAAAAACCAAATGCTAATTAAGACCTATTGCTCCTTTCTCTGTCAATCTAGTATCGCAATCAGTTGTCCTTGCAGCAAGATGCGCGCTTGCACATGCAACGCGAGGCGCTGCAGCAGCGGCAGGCGGAGCTGCGCTCTGTGGATCAACGGATTTACGAGCTGCAAACACGCCTGCAGCGCAAGAAGCAGGCGAATACGCATCACCAGCAGCAACAACAGCAGCAACAGCAGCAGCAGCAACAGCAGCAACAGCAGCAGCAGCAGCAGCAACAGCAGCAGCAACAGCAGCAGCAACAGCAGCAACAACAACAGCAACAGCAACAGCAGCAGCAACAACAGGTAGCAGCACAGCAACAACAATTGCAGCTACTAGCAGCAACAGCTGCAGCAGCTGCACAACAGCAACAACAGCAGCAGCAACAGCAGCAACAACAGCGCCAACCTGCCTCCAAGCACGGAGGCGTGGCAGCTTTGAAGCAACAACTGCTGCAGAAGCAGGTCAATCAGCTGGCAGCAGCTGCCGCTGCAGCAGCCGCCGGCCGAGCAGCCGAGCGTGCCATGGCACGGGGCAGCGTCAATGTGGCCGCCGTGGAGCCCTTCATACACACGCCACAAAAGTCCACAATAACAACGACGGCCAGCTACCTGAGCGGCGGCAATATGTTGAAGCATGCGGCAGCAACGGCCAACACCAATCAGCAGAATCAGCTCATCCAAGATCTGAGTCACAGCCATGTCAAGTTGACGCCTGGCCAAAGTTTCTATCCCAGCAGCAATGCTACAACATCAGCGGCAACGCCAACTGCAACTGCAACTGCAGCGAGCAGCAGCGAAAGCGACGAGTCGAAGCTGGCCAAGAAGCTGCTGACGGCCAAGTCGGAAGCGGAGCTGCGCAAACAGGCGCAAACTGAGGCCATGGATAGCACCACGCACATCTATGCAGAGGTGGGACCCAAGAAGCGGGATAGAGAGGCGGCAGCTGCGGCCGCAGCAGCAGCAGCGGCGGCAGCAGCAGCAGCGGCAGAGGCAACAGCAGCAGCAGCAGCAGCTACCACTGCAACAGCAACAACAACAACTTCGCCAACTGCCACAGCAAATGCCAGCAAAATACCGAAGAGCATCTCAAGCAGCAGCTCGGCCTCAGCGCTGATTAATAAATTGAATCAACAGGCAAAGGAGTCGCAGGAGCCATCAGCCCTCAAGAAGAACGAGATATCGGTAACCAGCGAGACATTGTCAGAGCGCAACACGCAGCAGCAGCTGACCGTGCACAGCATGCCGCTAGGCACTGTCAGCAAATCCGTGGCCATGGCCGTATCCAATGCGGGCGCCTCCAGCGGTAGCAGCAGCAGCACGAAACCGCTGCAGGTGCAGGTAGCAGTGCCGCCGCGCAAGCCCATCAGCAGCGTGGCGCCGACCTCGATGAGCAGCAGCGGCAGCGGCGCAAGTGGCGGCAGCGCCATACCCAAAATGATCAACTACAGCCCCAAGGTGAATCGTGTGGCGCCCAGCGTGGTGACAAACACTGCTGTTGAGCTGCGGCCCGCTTTGCCGCCCAAGCCCAGCAAAATGTCACCCACAGAGCAGCCCAGCGAGCTGAGTGGAACAGCAGCAGCAGCAGCCGCCACATCCAGCACAGCTGGCAAGGCACAGGCACAAACGGCAGCTCCTGCAGCGCCCAGCTTCGGGCTGCAATCCCTCAACATCAATGACAATTTGCCCATTAAGGCCAAGCCGCTAACCATACGCAAGCAGCCCATTTTTGAGCAACCGCCGCGGCTTAAGGCCCTGCCTGTAGGCGGAGGCCTGGCCAAGGCTGGGGCACAGCAGCTGCCGCGCAAGGTCGAGGCAGGACAGCAGCTGCTGCAGCAAGCCAAGCCGGAGCCTAATAGAACCACACTGGAATCTCCACAGCACTCGCCCAACAGCAACTCGCAGAGCAGCTCGAGCGTGGATGAGCCAGATCGCCTGGAACGCACCCAAGTGGAAGTGAGCAACAGCGGGGGCAGCAGCAGCCTTAAGGAGCGCACCACCAGCAAACCCAAGCTGGGGCGTCGCGTAAGCTTTGATCCACTGGCGCTGCTGCTCGATGCCAGCCTCGAGGGCGAACTGGAGCTGGTGAAGAAGACGGCCATGCAGGTGGCCAATCCGAGTGCGGCCAATGACGAGGGCATCACAGCGCTGCACAATGCCATCTGTGCGGGACACCTTGACATAGTCAAGTGAGTCGCAAGCCTAAAAGCTAATGAAGTACCTTTTACTAACCTCAGCTGTCTTTCAGATTCCTTGTGCAATTCGGCTGTGACGTTAATGCCCAGGATTCGGATGGCTGGACGCCGCTGCACTGCGCCGCCAGCTGCAACAATTTGAACATGGTCAAGTTTTTGGTGGAGAGCGGCGCCTGTTTGTTTGCCTCGACGCTCTCTGATCATGAGACGCCGGCGGAAAAGTGCGAGGAGGACGAGGAGGGCTTTGACGGCTGCTCCGAGTATTTGTACAGTAAGTTAGCAGTGTTTATATTGTTAGCAAATTTCTAAACTCCCTCACGCTGTCTCTCTTAAGGCATTCAGGAGAAGTTGGGCATTTTGCACAATGGCGACGTCTATGCGGTCTTCTCCTATGAGGCGCAGAACAGCGATGAGCTGAGCTTTCACGTCAACGAGCCGCTGATCGTGTTGCGCAAGGGCGACGATGCCGAGAACGAATGGTGGTGGGCACGTAATGCAGCTGGCGACGAGGGCTACGTGCCACGTAATCTGCTCGGGGTAAGTAATATAAATATATATCCTTCAGCTTGGCAAGCAGCTAATCAGTTATGCCTCTCTGCCTTCCCTTGCAGCTATATCCACGTGTGCCGCCGCAGTCGCCGCACTTTAGCGATTAGCAGTTAATACGCTTCACCATACTCAAGCGCAAGGCTGGCCGACTTGTGCAGAAGCGCTATATATCCAAGTATATATAGTGAGCTAAGCAACAGCAGCAGCAGCAGCAGCAGCAGCAGCACATTCCGAGCACGTGCCAACAGCTTCATCTCTCAGGACCAAATCCTGGTTATGAGCCGAGCATTATTTATGGCAGCCTCAACAATACTTCTTCCTGTTTACTTTTTCTTTGTTTGTTTTTTTTTGTTTTTTGAAAAAGCCACAAGAAGGAAACCTGACGCAGTCACATACACCCACACACACACACGCACACATATGGTTACATATGGCACACGTCGTGTGTGTGTGTGTGTGCTGCAAGTGTGCAAATGTGTGCCCATCAACAGAATGTGCAGCGCCTGGAGCAGCAGCTATTTATTATAAAAGAAGAGCAGCCACAATTAGGCAACAGTCTGGCTGGCTGACTGCCTCTCTGCGTCTCCGACTGTCTGCCTGTTCGTCCTGCCCGTTCGTCCGGCGTGTCTACTGCTTGCCTCCTGCACACACGTACAATAAATTGAATTTCGCTTAAGCTCCCCCATCTTAGATTAAGGCCTAGACTAATAACATAAGCAATACACACCAACCCTTGCCCATCCTAAAGCCGCTCGTACAACTCGGCCACAAATTGCTTTTGTGCATAAAACGAAAATTTCAAATTCTCAAAATTTCAAATTGAAATTGCAAATTGAAAGTTGAAGATAAACTTATGCACTTTGTGGCTTGCAACAGACGAGTTTGTTAATTGCCACCAAATGAGTTTTAAGCTATGAGCATTCGAAATCTATTGAAAGCCAACAACAACAAGAAATCGAATGTGATTTTCGGATTGTAAAAAGCGTAAAGAATATTACTTAAAATGTCGTTAATATTGCCTAATGTACAGTACTTACTACCTATGACTAAACAAGCCGCTTCGTTATCAAATTACGATTCCTAATAATACATATTAAAATTTAGTTTATATATACATACGCATATACATATATAGTAATTGACATATTTATACATATGTATGTAATTGCCTAATGCCTACCACCTACTCCTAGCATAAACTAAAATACAAAAAAAAAAACAAATACAAATCAAACACACAATAAATTACATTGGAAATGCAAAGATTTTTATTGAAAGCGAAAAAGAAGACCTCAGTCGTCCGAGAACTAACATAAAATTGTTAAGAGCTCGACATCTGAAAGGATAATGCTTATGTCCTTTGGTCAGTTGGTAGTCCTAAACAATATTCAATATTCTTCACAGGACTCGTTATGATAAGCAAGGATACTTCAGGGTTCTAATCAGTAAAGGACTAACTTTCCGATAAGCCTATAATTTTTTTACGGTTATCGATGAATCCCCCAACCTAACGCACCAAGTCCTGTCCGAATCTGCAAGGATTTGCCCGAGTTAGAGCTATTTTTCAAAATCAGGACATTCTTTATGTAGCCATAACTCGCCTGTATCCTTAAGAATCTGTTAAGATTAAACCGTATTCAGCTTTTGGGAAGTAGGACCATCGATTGGCATTCACAGATTTCCAGGAGTCGACCAAAATTGTTTCTCAAATTACTGCAAGGTCGAAAATGGCCAAGGACCACCTCAACTTCGCTATTTAAAGGACTATCGGGATGTGATTCACGGCAAATAAAATCCTTGGCCTTCTAATTAAAAATTAGTACTCAGAAGGACAAAAGTCCTTCAAACAGCTGAGATATAGCGATATTTTTGTATAGAGAAAAACACTTCTAACTCAGCCGTATTCTTGCATATCCTGTCAAGTAAGGTATTGAACGATATGGGCCCATCAAGACTATCAATGTGCCAAGGGACATCAAAATCAGGCTATTGGTTGCCGAGATATTAAGGTTTTTGTGTAATTTACGTGACTTCCTTGGAAAAGTGACATGATGTATCATTGACAAAATGTTTGCTTACAAATTTCAGCGCTGCCCTCTAGAGTATGCAACAAAAGTCAACTTTTCAACATTTTTGGCGTCCCACAAAAGTAGGCAACAATTTTATGATTATTCAGCTGCCCGCGGGTTGGTTGTGAACTTTGCTAAATTTACTTTCAAATATTCACTGTATCTTATGCAGTTCATTTGTTGCCGTTAAGTAAACGATTTATTTTCTGTATTTGTTTTCAAATATGTACCTTTATATATATATATTTTTTTTATTTTATTTTATTATTAATGTAGAAGCTGTTCAATCATATTTAGTACCTTAACAACACATGTATAAATATGGAAACCTTTTATATATAGTAGAAATATTAATTTAAACTATGTTTATAGAAATAGGAGTTACATTTCATTGGGAATGCGTTTGAGTACAAAGGATAATTTATTTAATCTATAAATTAAGCGAGTTCTACTGTAGCTGACTTAATCGTTCGAGCGCATTGCAAGGTGAACTTTCAATAGGCTTGCTTAAAACACAAATTGCATGCATGCAGCTCATATAATTATTAATATCAAATAAGTCGCTTTCCATCGAGTCATTGCAACTAACTGAGTAAGTGAGAAGTTATGAAAAACTGAGTGTATTTCTATTAGATACCCTGTAAATCTTTAATGACATATGGAGAAAGAGTAAATTTCAACTAAAACTAATATTGAAAGGAGATTAAATAAAAAGGCCCACGATGCCTTTTACTTATTGAATAGTCTAAACATTTATTTGTTAATAATCTATGCCTTCTTCGCAGGGTACTGCCCACTTACTGTGCAGCAATCGACGGAACCCAGTGCAGAAATACATTTGCTGTTTGCTGTAATCAATTTGAATTGAATGTTTAATTGATATGAGGAGATAGTGAGAAACGTTTACTTTACTATATAAAAATATTAGTTGAGTTGCATCTGCTGACCTGTCGCTATAATCTTATTTAGTGATTAACTTAAGGTGCGCATAATCAAACAAGAATCAAGCTGAGAAATATAAATAAAATATAAAAACTAATGTTTAGACAAGCCATACACACACGTCTATGCCTGCTGCCTGCTGGGTATCTGTGAATAACAAATAAATATACTCACTGTCACAATAGATCTTCTATTAACGATAATGTGTATTCAAGCGCTTCTCTTATTGGACGTGAGAGCTTCTCAGCGGCGCTGATCGTCGTTCATGAATAGCAGCACGAAAGAGGCTTTCGAGAGATTGGATTGGCTGGCCATCTGCTTTTCTCGCTGATCATACGTTGACGCTGACCGCAGCAGCATCACACGCGAAGATCAAAACTCACGAAATGTATGTGTCATTGTTACTAGATGGAATAGCAGCTATCAACAAAAATTGTTGACATTCATAAACACTCATAAATAACAAATGCTTTACTATACCTGATAACGCGCGTGCCCAATATTTTCTATATATTTTTAGCTCATCTTCAATGATAGCTGGTGTTTGTAAAAGAGCCGAATCATCGGGGCTTGTATTTGAATGTGTCGCAAGAGCATACCCTGTAAATTGATATACTGTAATTGATATACTTTTTATTCATATAAGTCATATATATATGGGAAATAACTGTCAAGACTCGATTGTTTAATTGACTTCCGATAGGCGAGTGTTAGATAATTTAGTCAGCAGCTTACTCGCTATATTCAATTCTATCATAGAAAAACTTATTGATTGAGCTGTTGTAAGCCAAATCAGACAACCTTCTTGACATGTTTAGCAGGGTATTTCAATTGAGCCTACCAAATTGAACAGACCCGCTTGGCGGCCACGTTAAAAGTGAGACGCACTGCCCACAGCATCTCAGTCGTTTGTGAATCGCGCCGTGGATCGGTTGATAGAAGCGTGAAAAATTGAATATAAATTAGGCATTAGCTGAATCAATGTAAATGCCAGAAAGCTAACTGTGAAGTGCATAAAAGTAAACTTTAATATCAGTAGTAATATTAAGCGGAAAAACGTTTCAACTAGTTTTTGGCCAAAACATAAATCGCATTGAATCTACTGAGGATTAGCATAAAAGTAAATGTAGAACAATTTTCAGCTTTAATTATATATTTATATATACTTGTCTCAATCTCTATCTCTATCTATCTGTCATCTGTCTCTCATCTCTATCTATATCTCTATATGTGTCTCAATAGTTAATAGACAATAGTTGCCAGATACTAGACTTAGACTAGATTAAAACTTACAAGCTCGAACTTGTTTACTTTATTTTAACAGAATAAATAATCTCTTTGATGGGATCAAGTGTTTTGTAAATGGAAACTGTAGAAACTTGTTTAATCGCCAGGCTTAAATTTTTTTTAAAAATTTACCTTGATCAAAACGAAAATTATATACGAATAATAATAGTAAATAAGTCGCTTTACATCGACTCAATTCTATGAGATACTCTGCAAACTTAACGCATTATTACATAGATGGAAGTAGTGTTTGATAACCAAAATGAATATTGAAATATAATCAACAAAAATGCATAAAGTATTTCATATCTATATTCTATACTGCATCTTAGCAAGTTAATTGCTAAAATTTAAAACAAATATTGAGTCAACTTTACAAGGTATACGCAACTGAGAACTGCGCACTTACAGAGCTGCAAGCGCAGTCAAGTTGAAATCTATTTGCTATTTGCTGTTTGCTGTAATAAATTTGAATTGAATGTTTAATTGATAGGAGGAGACATCAGTGAACTGATGAGCTTAGCAAATATTAGCAGAGTTTGCTCGACTGTTAAGCTTAACTAGTTAAGCGAGAGCAATAGTCGTCTCATTCTAAGACTAGAAATTGAAATTAAATTCAAGTAGAACATATATATATAAATAATATTAAATATACTTCAGCTCTAAGCTAACCTGCATTCCATGCATTTATCTTTTAGCTCGTGAGAGATTCGCGTTCGTTCCCAAACACTTTATAGACATCAGTGCAAACTCAACATGTTATAAAATAAAAGAAAATTAATAAAGAAAAGTGCAGAAAATAAATCAAAAATAAATTGGAAAATATAAATTCACATTGAATACACCAGCATGAAGCTGCAGTCGTTGAGTCTTGTTTTACTGTACTGCGCGCTGGCTGCACTGCCGCAGGCTAGGCCGGCGAACATTTTAGCCGTGTATGCATTTCCAGGTAAGCAGGTTTCACTGTACTGCAATTGCAACTAAAACTGTTCTAACTGGCTGTAAATTGCTCAGGCAAAAGTCATTTCATGATGCACACGGCGCTGATAAGGGAACTCGTGGAGAGCGGGCATCGTGTCACGATGATCACGGCCTTCTCGCTGTCCTCGCAGCAGCTGGGCAGCAACTACACGGAGCTGCTCATCGAACCGGTCTACGACTTCTGGCACGATGGTGAGCGAGCAGAAACCTGCAAAGGGTTTTCAGACTAACGAATCGTTCCACAGTGAAGCTTAACTTTGGAGTGCAGCATCTGTTCGACTTGACGCAGATGAAGAATTATGATTTCCTCAAGATGTTGGAGATTATTGGACTGAAGACCACGGAGCATGCGCTACGTCAGCCCAAGGTGCAGGCCCTGATCAATGCTCGCCAGACGAAGGGCGTCTTCGATCTGCTGCTCGCCGAGCAGTTCTACCAGGAGGCCTTTCTGGCGCTGGCCTACAAGTACAACATACCCATTGTCACCACAAGCACGCTAGGGTATGAGAACCATATGAGCCAAATGATGGGCCTGATTACGCCGTGGTCGTTTGTGCCGCACGGCTTCATGCCCTTCACCGACCGCATGTCCTTCATGGAGCGGGTGCACAATACGTACGTCTCGCTCTACGAGGACTTTGATCGTCTGCTCAACTACTTTCCCAAAATGGACGCCATCACTGAGCAGTACTTTGGCCAGGCCTTGGGTAAGTGCTGACCCATTTTGATAGCTTAAAATCTCTGATTCTATTGCCCGCCCCGCCCACAGCTGAAGTGCCCAAGGTCAGGAGCATGGAGAAGAAAATCTCGGTTATGCTGCTCAACAGTCACGCGCCGCTGACGACGGCACGTCCCACTGTAGACGCCATGGTGCCAGTGGGCGGTATGCACATCTATCCGCCCAAGCCGCTGCCCACAGACATGCAAAGTTTCCTCGACGCGGCAACAGATGGCGCCATCTTCTTTAGCCTGGGCAAGTGCGAACCCAAACACTATTTTCGAGCTACCCCCAAATAACTCTTCTCTCTGCTCCCATTCCAGGCAGCAATGTGCAGAGCAAAGAGATGCCCAGGGACATGTTGCAGCTGTTCCTCAAGGTCTTTGGCTCCATGAAGCAGCGCGTGCTGTGGAAATTCGAGGACGAGTCCATTGGTCAGCTGCCACCCAATGTCATGATACGCAAATGGCTGCCACAGGCGGATATATTGGCTCATCCCAACGTCAAAGTCTTCATCACCCACGGCGGACTCTTCGGCACCCAGGAGGGCGTACACTACGCCGTGCCCATGCTGGGCATGCCCTTCTACTGCGACCAGGTGAGTGCTTTACACTGATCAGATAGACGACTTCTTTGATTAATGCCCTCGCCATTCGCAGCATCTCAACATGAACAAGGCCGTGCTGGGCGGCTACGGCATTAGCCTGCACTTTCAGTCCATTACGGAGCAGCTGCTCCGCGACTCACTGCTGCAGCTCATCCACAATGCCAGCTACGCGGAAAATGTGCAGCGCGTCTCCCGCATCTTCAGGGATCGTCCGATGTCGCCGCGCCGCAGCGCCGTCTACTGGATCGAGTACGTGATACGACACAAGGGCGCACCCCACATGCGATCCGCTGGTCTCGACCTCAGCTGGTATCAGTTCTACCTGCTGGACGTGATTGGTTTTGTGGCAGTCCTTGGATCGACTGCTCTGTGCCTTAGTCTGCTGGCCATACGCCTGCTCCAAGGCAGCGGCAGGAAGCACAGGAAAGCGAAAGCCCATTAAATCATTAATTCATTATTATTTCTAGTTGTAATTGCTGTTGTCAATCAAAATAGTTGTTAATATATAGAAATATAGCCTAACGTGTCTTATACAGAGACGCTTGATAACACGTTCGTGTCAGCCAAGATTATATATTCCTAGCGTAGCGCCAATCATAACTCACATTTGCTAAGCTGTCGATCCAACTGAAAAGCAAATTTAAATATATGCTCAGCAGGTTCGTTCCACTTGCAAATACCCTGTAGAAACGTTAGTTTGTATATTCTTTTATATAATTAATTTCTTCAAATATTAGCTGAGCTTAAGTGGACCAAGTGCAAAAATCGATAAGTAATCGATATACTTATAGTTCATAGCTATTTCATACATCATCATTCATATAGAACTCGATTTATATGTCTTTCGCCATAGAGTCTGGTGCTTAAAAAGAACATGCAACTCTATGATATACCCTGTAAATCGTAATGTCATGGATGTAAGCATTTAAGAGTGCTAACTTTACAGGGTATATGAAGTGCGTAACAGTCAGCAGATGCTTTAGAGAACTGCGCACTTATTTACGAGATGAAATGCATTGGCTGTTGGCTGTTTGCTGTAATGAATTTGAATTGAATGTTTAATTGATATGAGCAGACAGCGAGAATTGTAAGTGGAATATACAAATATAAGTTGGGCCTGATGGGCAGCTTAGTTTGGCTAGACAAAAAAAAGAATCGAGTCTTGAAACTACATTTTAAATATATTTACAGAAGCACAAGGCATGCATAACCGCTTTTAGTGGCTACAGGGTATTAAAGGCCCTTCTCTCATAGGCTGTGAGAGTTTCCCAGTGGCTTGCTGATCATACTGTTGGCCCCCTCGTGGCACGTGAAGATCCATTAACAACGAGCGTGTCCAAAGTATTTCTAGCTCATCTCTGATGATAACACAAACAGCTGGAATTGCTTTGGATTGCGCTCTACAAAAATACCCTGTAAAAATATACTCTTGAGTGTCTTATATGCATACAAAATTATCTCTTCAAAGTCTAACTCAAGCTAATTCATAGAGTTGTGAATGAAATGTGAAATATATATAGAACATATCTGATTATTTAATTGACTCGCAACAGTTGAGGTTAAGCAATTTACTCAGCAGTGTAGTCGACCGATAAATACCCTGTAATTACTAGCAAATCAGCGTCTTTTATATACATTTCCATCATATGAAAACTTATTAAAAACCACATTTTGGTTATCGAACCATCGAACCAACCTTATCGCAGTCTTGCTAGAAGTTTGAATGCCGAATTTCATCACGACGCATCGCCGATACGTTGCCTGGAGTCGACATACGGCAGACCCAGCGCCGACAACGTCTCAGTCGTTTGTGAATCGCGGCGCGGATCGGTCGACCGACACTTGAGTAGCTCCCACACTGCGGCAAACAGATTGAAAATGGTGAGCAAATAAATTAACTTAAACAAAATTAAGTGCCTAACTTCAGTGGGCAACAAAAATGTGCACAAAAATAAGCTAAATTTTTCAATTGAATATTTATCAGTTGAACAGAAACAGGTTTTGCCCAAAACATAAATCGCATAAAAGTGTTTGCCTCTCCCTCTCTCTCTCGCTCTCTCTCTCTCTCTCTCTTATGTCTTCATATTTCGGCAAACGTTTACAAACGTTTAATATGCTTTGCCGTTCTGGCCAAACGTTTACGAATTTGTCAAGCGATAAATACCATAAAGCTATTCACAGAATACAAAATCAATAGAAAATGCAAGTTAATTATTAAACGCACGTAGGCGATAAGGAAAATCCGTCGCTAGATAAGAGCTAACAATGAAAAGTCTACAGCGCTGCTTGAGTAGCTAGCCTAAAGTGATTACATTAAATTAGATAAAGAACCTGAAGTAAAAAGATAAGTTAACTAATCTATTTGACCTACAGCAACCGAAGAGCGCATTGAAAGTCCTCCTGCTGGGCCTTGTTGCCCTGCAGCACTTGGAAGTTGGAGCTGGTTACCGTATTCTGGCGCCCTTCTTCTTTCCCGGCAAAAGTCATTTCATGATGACCGATGCGATCATCAGAGAACTAGTTCATAGAGGACATGAGGTGACCTTCATTACACCATTTTCATTGGCCAAGGAGAAACTGGGTGCGAACTACACAGAGATTATTATACCTCAGTACAATATTTGGGGTGAAAGTAAGTCCATTTGGTTGGGGTAACGTAATTCTAACTAAATGTCAACCAAAACTTCTTCTTCAGTTTTGAGCACGATCAATGCCAAGTCAGCGTTGGACATGACGGATGTGGACACTATCACATTCCTCAAGCTTGCCCATCAGATGGGCTTAGGCAGCACGAACTTTGCCTTTGAGCAGAAGGAAGTCCAAGATCTGATCAATGCCAAGGACAAAGTGGGCAAATACGATTTGCTTCTGGCCGAGCAGTTCTTCAACGAGGGCGCCCTCATTCTGGGGCATCTATATCAAATACCAATTATTACCGTCACAACTTTCGGATACGCCAACTATCTGAGTTCCCTGACGGGCATTATCAATCCCTGGTCGTATGTGGCTCATGGCTGGAAGCCCTACACAGATTGCATGTCACTTACAGAACGTATTGACAGCGTCTTCTGTTCACTCGCAGAAGAAGTGATGCGCTACTTCTGGTATTATTCTGCACAGGATGAGATAATACAGAAGCATCTATCCAAGCAATTCAAGGATTTGCCAACAGTTAAACAACTGGAACGAAACATCTCAGTCATTCTGCTGAATAGCTACATGCCCTTGGAAGCCCCTAGACCCACATCGTTCAATATGATTCCCGTGGGTGGGCTACACATAAAGCCTACCAAACCTTTACCCTCGAATATCAAAAAGTTCTTGGACGATGCCAAGCATGGAGCCATCTACTTCAGTTTGGGTAAGTTGCAAACTCATATTCATATGTTCATGGACTTGGCTAACAGTCTCCGACAGGTTCTCAAGTGCGTAGCGCGGATTTCCCACCCGAGAAGATCAAGATGTTCCTTGGTGTGTTTGGAAGTCTTAAGCAACGCGTTCTCTGGAAGTTCGAGGATGACAAACTGCCCAATCTGCCTGCCAATGTGATGGTCCAGAAGTGGATGCCCCAGACTGACATACTCGACCATCCGAACGTCAAGGTTTTCATCTCCCATGGAGGACTCTTCGGCACTCAGGAGGCGGTTCATTATGGGGTACCTGTACTCGGCATGCCCGTCTACGCTGATCAGCATTTGAATATCAAGAAGGGAGAAGCTGCTGGCTATGCGCTCAGCGTAAACTACCATACAGTCACGGAGAAGGAGCTGCGCTATGCGCTGACAGAGCTGCTGGAGAATCCCAAGTATATGGATAACATGAAACGAGCCTCACGCATCTTCCGCGATCGTCCACTGAGTGCGATGGATACGGCCATGTTCTGGATCGATTATGTTATCAAGCATCGTGGAGCACCACACATGGTGTCCGAGGGACTCAACCTGCCCTGGTATCAGTTCTATCTCCTAGACATAGCGGGCATTGCGTTGGCTTTGATTTTGTTGCCCATTTTGGCTCTGCTTCTTCTTTGCCGCCAGTTAAGGTCTGCGAAGAAGCCCAAACCAAAGTCCAAGCGACACTAGTAATACGCCTTATAGAAACTCCCAAACATGTTTTAAGTATGTTAATTTCATTGAATAAATTTGTAGACTTACAAATTAAAAAGAGTATGAAGCTGTTCTCTCTTGACCCCAACTGAATATCTCTTACTTCAAGAGAGCTACAATAGAGCTCTTCTATGCGATTTTCATGATGGCTTGAATGCCATCCTTTGCACTGGCCGAGTGGGTCTCAGTCGTCTTTGAATCGTGTCTCAGATCGGCCGCCTGAGTGCGAAGCCGGAACACAAAAATGGTGATAAACAAAAAACAAATAATATTTCAGCGAGTAGGACAACTACTTAAGAGAACAAGAACAATTGAGTCTAACTACAATTTTGAATAGCTGAACTTAGAATATATAATGTGGAGCTGATATGGTATAGAGAGATAGATCGATACGTTAATTTGCCTTTCAAGTCATTGATCTAAAATAATTTATATTAATTATATAACTAGCAAACGTATCAATAAACTATATTGTGAAATACGAAATATGTTCGAGAAGCAGGCGAATCTAAGCTTTGGAAAATTAAGCGAACAGCTGGTCAGAATTACTTGAAGACGCCACAAAACGAAATTTGCTTGATTAATTTTATAGATAAGTTTAATAAGCACGTAAGCGATAACACAAACGTTTCAGACTGTTCGTAATCTCGTGAAGATAGATAAGAACTCAAACTGTTATAGCCATAAAATAGAAAATTTTTTGCTGCTAGAGCAATTCCCATAAAGATAAGAATATTACTTCAAGTGTCACAGATTACAATTTCACAAGCACCTCAGACTGTCTTTATTAATAAATTATCTACTTGACCTACAGCAACTTAGATTCCCCTTGAAGTTGGGATCACGCATCTTGACGGCCTTCTTCGATAGGTAACACACGTGCAGCGTGGACTTGAGGTAACTCTACTCGCTGACTAAGAGGAACCAGAGAACCTCGATACGGCAACAGATGGCGGCATCTTTAGCCTGGGCAAGTTTGAACCCCAACACTACGAGCTACCCCCAAATAACTTTTCTCGCCACTTCTATTCCAGGCAGCAATGTGCAGAGCAAAGAGATACGGGCGCACCCTCGCTGGTCTCGACTTCAACTGGCATCAGTTCTACCTGGTGGATATGATTGACTTTGTGACAGCCCTTAGATCGGCTGGCCTTTGCCTTAGCCCGCCGGACATACTTCCGCTCCACGGCAGCGGCAGAAAGCAAAGGAAATCTAAAGCCCTTTCAATCAGTAGCTCATCATTATTTCTAGTAATAAAAATAGTTGCCAATATATACATATTTTATTATATAGGTAGAATGAAGTGTGTCGCTTTGTTACAGCTGATAACACGTAAGTGTGAAACAACGTTATATATTCCTAGCGCAGCTCCGATCACAGCCGACACTCCTAAACTGTCGACTCATCGAAAAAGCAAAACAAAAAACATTCTCTACTAGCTTAAAGCTTATATATATTAGATCCTCAAATATTGTCTCTCGTTGAGTGGGTCAAGTTCGAAAATACCCTGTAATTGATATCACATATTAAATATATATAGGAAATAGCTATAAATTATTTATGATTCAAGCTAATTCTGGCAATTAAGTGTATGAGAATTAACTCAGCCTGCACTCGACTGATAAATGCTCTGCAATTGCGAGGCTGCAGGCGTTTTATATTAAAACTGATTGATTCAATTCAAGAGGGCGACAAAGTGCAGTCATCGAGTCAGTCTTATCGCCAGCGTGCAGGGTATTTGCCAGCCGAATTTCATCACAGGTGCATCGCCGATAAGTGGCCTGGAGTCCATATACAGTGCATGGGAGGCAACGTTTCAGTCGTTTGTGCATCGAGCCGCGGATCGGTCGACTGCAACCTGAGACACTCGCCAAGTGCAGCAAGCAAATTGAAAATGGTGTGCAAATAAATTAAACTTAAGTAAAATTAATCAAATAAATTGAGTGTCTAACTGCAAGCTACGCGGAGAAAGAGGATTTCATACAAATATTTATCAACTTAAAACGGGCTAACAAATTCATCATGTTCACCTATTAACCTACAGACATACTATAGGCGAATTCATTACAAGTAACAAATCAATAACGCATTCAAGTGAATTATGAAACGTGCAAAGCTGATAAGGAAAATAAAAACGCATCGTAATAGCCAGATAAGGGCTCGCATTGCAAAACTTAACTGCTTGAGTAGTTACTATAAAGTGGTAGTTACATAGCATTAGATTAAGAACTTCAAGTGGAAAGATAAGTTCTTTGGCTCCATTTGTAACTTACCTATATCATCCACAGCAACCAAAGAGCGTCCTGAAAGTCCTCCTGCTGGGCCTTGTTGCCCTGCAGCACATGGAAGTTGGAGCTGGTTACCGTATTCTGGCGCCCTTCTTTTTTCCCGCCAAAAGTCATTTCATGATAACCGATGCGATCATCAGAGAACTAGTTCATAGAGGACATGAGGTGACCTTCATTACACCATTCTCATTGGCCAAGGAGAAACTGGGTGCGAACTACACAGAAGTTCTAATACCACAATACAATATTTGGGGTGCAAGTAAGTCTCTTTGGAAGGCGTAATAACCAACTATTGTTAACCAAATCTTCCTCTTTAGTTATGGACTTGACCAGTGCCAAGTCAGCACTGGACATGACAGATGTCTACACCATCCCATTCCTCAGGGTCGCCTATACAATGGGCTTGGGCAGCACGAACTTTGCCTTTGAGCAGAAGGAAGTCCAAGATCTGATCAATGCCAAGGACAAAGTGGGCAAATACGATTTGCTTCTGGCCGAGCAGTTCTTCAACGAGGGCGCCCTCATTCTGGGGCATCTATATCAAATACCAATGATTACCGTCACAACCTTCGGCTACTCCAACTATCTGAGCTCCTTGACAGGCATCATCAATCCCTGGTCGTATGTGGCTCATGGCTGGAAGCCCTACACAGATCGTATGTCACTTACAGAACGTATTGACAGCGTCTTCTGTTCACTCGCAGAAGAAGTGATGCGCAAATTCTGGTATTATCCTGCCCAGAATGAGATAATACAGAAGCATCTATCTAAGCAGTTTAAGAACTTGCCAACCGTTAAACAACTGGAGCGGAATATCTCAGTCATTCTGCTGAACAGCTACATGCCCTTGGAAGCCCCTAGACCCACATCGTTCAATATGATTCCCGTGGGTGGACTACACATAAAACCTACCAAACCTTTACCCTCGAATATCAAAAAGTTCTTGGACGATGCCAAGCATGGAGCCATCTACTTCAGTTTGGGTAAGTTGCAAACTCATATTCATATGTTCATGGCCTTGGCTAACAGTCTCCGACAGGTTCTCAAGTGCGTAGCGCGGATTTCCCACCCGAGAAGATCAAGATGTTCCTTGGTGTGTTTGGAAGTCTTAAGCAACGCGTTCTCTGGAAGTTCGAGGATGACAAACTGCCCAATCTGCCTGCCAATGTGATGGTCCAGAAGTGGATGCCCCAGACTGACATACTCGCCCATCCGAACGTCAAGGTTTTCATCTCCCATGGAGGACTCTTCGGCACTCAGGAGGCGGTTCATTATGGGGTGCCTGTGCTCGGAATGCCCATCTACGCAGATCAGTATTTAAATATTAAGAAAGGGCAAGCTGCTGGCTTTGCTTTGAGTGTAAGTTACCGCACGGTCACGGAGAAGGAGCTGCGCTATGCGCTGAGAGAGCTGCTGGAGAATCCCAAGTATATGGATAACATGAAACGAGCCTCACGCATCTTCCGCGATCGTCCACTGAGTGCGATGGATACGGCCATGTTCTGGATCGATTATGTTATCAAGCATCGTGGGGCACCACACATGGTGTCCGAGGGACTCAACCTGCCCTGGTATCAGTTCTATCTCCTAGACATAGCGGGCATTGCGTTGGCTTTGATTTCGTTGCCCATTTTGGCTCTGCTTCTTCTTTGCCGCCAGTTAAGGTCTGCGAAGAAGCCCAAACCAAAGTCCAAGCGAAACTAGTAATACGCCTTATAGAAACTCCCAAACATGTTTTAAGTATGTTAATTTCATTGAATAAATTTGTAGACTTACAAATTAAAAAGAGTATGAAGCTGTTCTCTCTTGACCCCAACTGAATATCTCTTACTTCAAGAGAGCTCTTCTATGCGATTTTCACGATTTGAAGAATGGCTTGAATCCCTTGAAATGAGTACCTGAAAGAGCAGCCAATCAAATCGCTACACATTATAGAGACTCGTTTTTAAACACCTTTTACTGATTATTTGGCTTAGCACTTGCCGACTGGGCCTCAGTCGTCTTTGAATCGTGTCGTAGATCGGCCGCCTGAGTGCGAAGCCGGAACACAAAAATGGTGATAAACAAAACACAAATAATATAAATTAAATTAAGTTCAGCGAGACTAATTGAGTCTAACTACAATTTTGAATAGCTAAACTTAGCAGAGAAAGTACAGCTGAGATATGATGTAGATATATAGATCGATACATTAATTTGTCTTTAAAGTCATTGATCTAAAATAATTTATATTAATTATATAACTAGCAAACGTATCAATAAACTATATTGTGAAATACGAAATATGTTCGAGAAGCAGGCGAATCTAAGCTTTGGAAAACTAAGCGAACAGCTGATCGGAAATACTTGAAGACGACACAGGCAAAAACAACCTGATTAATTTTATAAATAAATTTATTAAGCACGTAAGCGATAAAACAAACGTTTGTGACTGTTCGTATGACAGATAAGAACTGAAATTGGTATAGAAAAACTTCGTTGCTACTAGAGCAGTTCCCACTAAGATAAGAATATAAACTGAAATGCCATAGATCTTAAATTTCATAAGCAACAACAACGTTTACTTGACCTACAGCAACTGAGAGTCTTGAAGTTCCTGCTGCTGGCTCTGGTGGGGCTGCAGCATTTGGAGCTAAGCACTGGATCGCGCATCTTGACTGCCTTCTTCTTTCCTGGGAAGAGTCATTTTATGATGCTGAATGCCGTTATCAGGGAGTTGGTGCAGCATGGACATGAGGTCACCAACATCACGCCCTTCTCATTGGCCAAGGAAAACCTGGGCTTGAATTACACAGAGATTGTAATACCTCAATACAACTTCTGGCCCTCAAGTGAGTGTACAATAATCCAGTCTCATCAGCTCTAACTAATCCTGTATCGTGTCTAGTTCTGGAAACGACAAAAGTCAACTCTGTCGTGGAGCTAACTGATGTCTCTACTTTGACGCTGCTTAAGCTCTTCTATGAGATGGGACTGAAGAGCACAAGTATGGCTTTCGAATCTCCTGAGGTGCTAAAACTTATCCATGCAAAGGATAAGGCGGGAAAGTACGATTTGTTGCTTGTCGAACAGTTCTTCAATGAGGGCGCCCTCTTTCTGGGTCATCTCTATCAAGTGCCTGTCATAAACCTGTTTACCTTCACCTTTGCCAACTACATGAGTTCCTTGACGGGCATCGTCACGCCTTGGTCATACGTGGCCCATGGCTGGAAGCCCTATACGGATCGCATGTCCCTCTCGGAACGCATTGACAATGTCTACGTCTCACTGGCCGAAGAGCTCATGCGAAAATACTGGTACTATCCAGCTCAGGACGGGATACTGGAGCAACACTTTTCCAAGACGTTCGATAGGCTGCCTTCCATTAGGGAAATGGAACGCAACATTTCAGTTATTCTGCTGAATACCTATATGCCACTCGAAGCTCCTAGGCCCGTTTCCTTCAATATGATTCCAGTGGGTGGACTACACATAAAACCCCCAAAGCCTTTGCCGCCTAAAATGCAAAAGTTCTTGGATGAAGCTGTGCATGGAGCCATCTACTTCAGTTTGGGTAAGCTATTGATAAGTTATGCCAAGCTTGACTTTATCCTACAATCCTTCTGCTAGGCTCCCAAGTACGTTGCGCTGACTTTCCGCCTGAGAAGCTCAAGATATTCCTGGATGTATTTGCCCGCCTTAAGCAACGCGTCCTATGGAAGTTCGAGGATGACAAATTGCTCAAGCTTCCACCCAATGTGATGACCCAGGATTGGTTGCCCCAGACTGATATACTCGCCCATCCGAACGTCAAGGTTTTCATCTCCCATGGAGGTCTTTTCGGCACTCAGGAGGCGGTTCACTATGGTGTGCCTGTGCTCGGCATGCCAGTCTATGCCGATCAGTATTTGAATATTAAAAAGGGTCAAATTGCTGGCTACACAATGGGCGTGGATTACCGCACTGTTGCGGAGCAGGAGCTGCGCCATGCCTTGACTGAGCTGTTGGAAAACCCCAAGTACCGCGATAACATAAAGCGTGCTTCACGCATCTTCCGCGATCGTCCACTGAGTGCAATGGATACGGCCATGTACTGGATCGACTACGTCATTGAACATCGTGGAGCAGCACATTTGGTATCCGAGGGTCTGAACTTGCCCTGGTATCAGTTCTATCTCCTAGACATAGCTGGCATTGCCGTAGCTCTAGTCTTATTTCCTTTATTGGCTCTGCTGCTCATCTGCCGCAGCTTGCGGTCGGCGAAGAAGCTCAAAGCGAAGTCCAAGCGAAACTAGAACAAAATTCTCTTTTTTTTGATAACTCAAAACGATTTATTGATAAACAAATGTGTGCTATGATTATGTTAATTAGTTTGAATAAATTTATAAAATTGTTTTTGATAGTTTTTTAATACAATTTCGAGTGCTGTGTAAACATTTTACAAGGGACTTTTTGTGAACTCGCGTCAGGGCAACAGAAAGCTGCCAAAATAATTAATAACAAAGCTTACGAGAAGCGTACAAAGACCAGCGACAGCTCTCTGAACTGGGCGCTGAAATACATATTAGGGGTACCAATAATTTCCAAACTTATAGGTCAAAGAGATACTTTTCAAATGTCAACGAATACAAAAGCTAGCGCGTGTAGTAGTGTGTGTGTGTGTGAGTCTGTTTGTGTCTGAGTGGGGGTGTCTGTGTGTTGGTTGTGCCGTGCGCGCTCTACTGGCTGATGATCATGGACTTCTTTACCTTCTTCTCCTTCTTCTCATGGGTGATGGTCACTTCCTCTGCGTGGAAGAAATAGTTTTAAGTTGAGATTAAGTTGAGTCTAAGCTGAGTTTGCTTATTTCTATGCTATTACCTTCGAACTTGTGAGGCAACTGCTTCACAGTCTCAATTGTTTTGACCGTCTTCTCGCCGGGTTCAATGATCTCTTCCTCGTATTCCTCAATGATCTCCTCCTCGTCGGTGTCGTCGGGATTCGATTTGCTGCTGGGCACCGGATCGAACACAGTCTTCACTGCCTTCTTCACAATGCCCTCAGAGGTCACAGTTGTGTAGTGATACTCGGTGCCGCCCTCGATCTTGATGGTCTCAACGGTGGTCACATCACCGGGATTCTCGGAGGGCACAATCTTCTTGGTGCCCGACTCGGACTTGAGCTTCTTGGTGCTGGTCACGTTCTTGTGCTTTTCGGCATCCTTCAAGGTCTTCTTATACTGCTTGATCTCCTCCTCGGTTAGCTCGACTTCCTCCTCCTCGTAAACGGTCTTCGAGGTGGTGATCGTCTTGCCCGACTCCAATTCCGTCGAGTAGGTGTACTCAACGCCGCCGGGCACACGCTTCGAGGCCACGGTTGTGGTGTCGTTCTGCACAAAGTCGGCCGGTGGTGGTGGCGCCGATGACTTGGGCTTCTTCTTCTTCTTGCTGGCATCACCGGTGCTCTGGGTGACGGCCTTGATGCTCTGCTCCTGCAGCGAATTCTTGCGCACGGTGCGATTATTCTCGGTGATCTCAATGTTCTGGCTAACACGGCGCGTCTCCTCGATGGTGGTGTCCTCGCGATAGTTGGACTGCTTGTCGTTGACATTCTTCTGCACCTTCTGCACAACGCGGCGCGACGAAGATTCGGTCGAGTCGGTCGAATCCACCGACGACTTGCGGGTGACATTCTTCTTGGTCTTGTTGACCTTGGTGGTGGTGTTCTCATTGATTTCCGTGGGCACGGAATCGTAGAAGGTCTTGGTGCGCATGCTGCGCGTGCCATCGTCATTGATGGTGGTGTAGACCTCCTCGTAGCCACCCTCAATGGCGCGAGTCAACATGGTGGTCTTCTCATCGATGCGTATCTCCTTGCCCAGGCGCTGCTTGATGATCTTCTTGTTGGCCTGCTCCTTGGCCAAGTCCGCTTCGCTAACGGGCTTCGGGTCCCAGAAAGTTTTCACCTGGGTCTTGACCGTGCCGTTCGGCTGCGGCGTCGTGGTGATCATCTCATAGCCGCCATCGATCAGTTTATACTGGGTGCTAGCACCGGTGGCCCTGTCATACTCAATTTTGCCATCCTCAATGTCAGCGGAGGTCAGGAGCTCTTCGTGGAGGGTAAAGAAGTTGCAGTTGCATGTGTTTGTGTGAGTGTGTTTCGAATAGATATAAATTGTATTGTGTAGCGCAGCTAACGATCTCTGTATGACTCTGTGTGTGTGTGTGTGTTTGTGGCAAGCACTTGTGGCATGTTATATATAAGATATATAAATATGTATATAAAAGGTTTCCTATGCTAAGATATTGCAAATTAGTTTCATCTAAGGCGCATTTGGTAAATTATTGTTGTTTTGTTTTGTTTTGTTTTTAAATTCGTTTAAGCAACATTTTTACAGCGTTTTGTACTTGGTTTCGGTTTTGTTTACATTTGTTACTGTTGTTTAGGTTCTACTGTACTTGTACTTGCGGGGCCTAGACATGCACCGGCTCCGGCAGATATTCAGATTCGTTGTCGCCATCCAGTCGCAGGGTACATCGAAGCAGCGCCGCCCTGGTCGCCAGTTGCGGCAGGCAGCTGTAGTGCATCAGCAGTTGCAGTAATTGTTATTTAAACTTACGCGACGCCTTCTGCCTGCTCGGCTTGGTGGGTGCCGCATTCTGTTGCAGGATATGTTGCTGCGCCGGTTGCGTTGCTGCCGTCGCCTGTGCTGCCTGCCCGACTGCCTGGACACGTTGTGGTTTCGCTGTCGAAGCTGTTGTTGCGGTTGCTCTGGCTGATTGCTGTTCCACAGTGGCTTTGCTGCTGTTGTTGGCGGCGGCGGCGGCGACGACGGGTTTCTGTGCGTTAGTTGGAAGTTTGTTAGTTGTGACGGCTGCGGGGCCGGCTTTGACCTCTGTCACATTTGAGCCCTGATTAGTTGGCAAGCTTAAGCCAGAGCTGGAGCTGGGACTGAGATTGAGGCTGAGGCTGGGTTCAATGTTGGCCTTGATATGGGCTTCGTTGGTTGGCCTCTGCTGCAGCAGTTTATTTGCAGTTTCAGTTAGCAATTGATTAAAGCCTAGCGTGTTATCGTTATCATTATCGTTATCGTTATCGTTATCTGGAAAATGCGGTTAGGGTAATTTTGATTTTAACAGGCGAAACTGCAGAAAGAATTGCATTACACAGAAGCTACTCAGGCATGATTGAAGATGATTGAAGCGCAGCACAGTGAATGAAGATTGATTGATTGATTGCTTGATCGAAGGCAATTGATGTGAGTCAAGCAGTGCGTGCTCATGAAGCTGATTGAATATGAACTATGATCTTTCTCAATCATATAAATATATAGTAAATCTCTTAATATGAACCCCACAGCTTAGGAAATACGTCACACAACAGATGGAAGGGTGTTTGATGTAAGGATGAGAGAACTTAGAAATAGACGACTGAAAACAATAAATGTAAAAAGAAAAACAAACTTATATTTAAAACTCACTTACAGAACGCGTAAAGGGTGTAGGGGTGTTGGGTGGGGAGAGACGAACGAAATCTTAAAGCTAAAATAAAAATGCATATTTCAAACGGTTTTGTGATTAAACGAAGAGTTTTTGTTCTTTGTGTTTTGTGTTCTTGAATAAATAGACAATATTTCAATGTAAATTACAACATAAAGGGTAGAAAGAAAGAACTTTGTATGTGTGAAAACGCACACACATACACACATCTAACACACACACAGGCAACACTTTCTAGTTAGTTTCGAAATATATATTTAAGAAAACATTTTATTTTACATTTTATACACACATTTTTCATTAGAAAAAATAAATTAAAATTCTAATTGATGAGGGGAATTTGGGATTTTAGGGCCCTTTATGCAGATGAGCTAAAAAAAAAAACAAAAGTGTTAAGACTCAAGAGGGCAGAACAGAAATAAAAACAGTATCAGAATTTTCAATTAAAATACAATGAAGTGTAAAAGTTTTGTGGCTGGGCCAAGTGGTTGTTGTGCCAAGGATATGTCTGGCTGTGTAGGTATGTAGGTGTCAAGTGTGTCACACACACACATACACTTAAATGAATTTGTAACGTGGAGAGCAGCAGCGTCGTTGACGAGTGTAAAAAAGTTTAATTTGAAAACTTAATTAAAATTTCTGTGCGTTTTTTATTTATATATACAACAGTGTATATATATATTATATATATATATATATTTTTTCAATTTTATGATATGTGCTACTGCTGCTAACTAGGCTACAAACCATGTCTGAGTGTGTGTGTGTGACTGGCAATTAAATATGGCATTTTGCCTGACACTTGACATCACTTGGCTTAAATTTGTGTTTATTTTTTTATTAAAGTCAAAGACTTGTGTGCGTGTGTGTGTGTGTGCGAGTGTGTGTGAGGACTTGTCTGTGTTCACACATAACGTTTAGAATTGCTTGTTGTTGTTGTTGTTGTTTGTTCACTACATATATTAGCTTCGTATCTATGAACTACCAGTTTCCGCCTCCTTCTCCGGCTTGGACTCCAGCGTCTGCGTTATCTTCTTCCAGATGTTGTCGAACGCATCGGCGCCCGTATAATCAATCTGTCCCGACTCCCAGCACTGGCGACGCATCAGATTCTCGTATTGCTCCTGTTCGGGTGTGCGCTGCACGCCGATGCGCAGCTGCGACAAGGCGCCAGCGAGGCCAGCCTATAAAAACAAAGTTATCCAATTGCCAGTGTTAGACACTCTCCAAAAAAGAAGAAGAAGCGAAAACCAAATATACAAAACACAAAACATAACTGTTTATGGGCATAGAACAGTGTGTTACATAAAGGCATGCTTCAGACATTCTAAAGTTAATTGCTTTACTTAGTTTTAGTTTTATGTACATTCAATTAGCTGTTAGGCAGTTGCGCCCGCACAACGTGGCGTATGATTAATGCGCTTCGCTCTTGTGCTGTTGTTGTTGGTCGCTGCAAGCTGCTCTGTATGTGTAGCTCGCATGTCCTCGTGTGGCAGATTACCATGAGCAGGCTACTCTATGAAGATGTAGCTATGGGTGTGTGGGTGTGGGTATGGGCGTGGCTGTGTATAGGAGTATGTGTGTGTGTATAGGAAACAAGAATAAAGAAATCCAGTTGACATTTAAATGCTTTTCAGATGCAAATGCCAAAGTGCCACCCGCATTGACACACATACGCACCCACACGAACAGCTCAAGGACTACTTAATGCCTTTTTAAAGGACGCCAAAGCAAGCAATAAATCAGCAAATGCAGCAGCAGCAGCAGCAGCAGCAGCAGCCCACAACATGATGATGATGATGAGCATGAAGATAATGAAGACAGTGGACGATGGACAGTGGACAGCGGCGATAACACGTTGTATGATAATGGGACATGCAAATGTGACAGGCGACAGCAGCAGCAGCAGCAGCCGCCGCAGCAGCAGTAACCAAAGTCAATTTAACTAGACACCAGACGATAGACGCAGGACGAGAGACGCGACGCGACATGAGACATGAGACAGTGCAACCAAAGACAATGAGAACAACAGCAAATCTGAAGTGGGAACTGGAAAGGTGGTTTGGTGGTTTGGTGGTTGTGTTTGTGGTGCATTTGTTGACATTTGCCCGTTTCATTTGTAGTTTTTACCTCAGCTTCGACGGCTTCGACTTCTTCAGTTTGTGTATTGTGACTTGAGGTGGTTTGTGTCGTTGGGTGGTGGTTCGTGTGTGGTTCGTGGGTGGGTTCTTGTGCTTGCTCATTGCTATTATTTACATCTATTGCTATGGACTCTTCATTGGCAGTGGTTGGTGGCGGTGGCGGTGGCGGTGTTGGTGGTGGTGGTGCTTGAGGTGATGGTGATGTGGGTCTGAGACATGCATCGCTCTGACACTGGTTCCAACTTCCTCTTCTCTCGTCACTATCATGATGCCAGAACTGCTGTTCGGGTTCGGGTTCGGCTTGTGGTTCGAGTTCACTTTGTTGTCGCTCCACTTGCTCATAGTAATCTGCCCAGGGATCACGATATTCACGGACATGCGGCACATATGGCTCTGGCTGTTGTTGTTGTTGCTGTTGCTCATGATAGTAGCTGTCCATATCGTAAGCGTACTCAGCATAGCTCGACGAGTGCGTTATGTTCAAGCAAAGACACTTTGGTTTGTGATTTAAGCGATATTTGTGGTTTTTTTGCGATAATTAAGCGCATGATAAGAGTTGAAAATCAAAAATAAATTTAAATAACTTACAAGCATCAAATAATAAGGCTTAAGGCTACGAGAAGTGAACAGAATTGTATAAGAACTTGAAGCACACCATAAAGAACAGGATAAACAAATACACAACATTTTACAGGGTATTTTACCGAGTCTACCCTGTAGTTTTAGTGCATATATCTATATGTAAATAAAGAATATTTGAAAACATTTACATTGAACTATTTATATGTAGTTTGATGATTTAAAAAGAAAAACTGGTCACCCTAAAAGTACAGTGCTGCCAATTTGCTAGAGTCTGAAGAGCAGTTGCAGTAGAGAAGGACATTTTTCTAGTGTATAGAAAATGTTTAAATAATTTACAATATGGAATATATATTGAATTCAGCAATTATTGAGAATTGAGAATTTGTGAAAAAACATAAAAATCCTGTACAAATAAATCAGTTTTTCTCTACAAAATATTTTATGTTTAGTTATACTTTGATCATGCCTTCCATCTGCAGACTTTATCTCAATAATCCCAACAGCCTCTTCCCTTGGCATACCAGTTAATGAAATCCTAACAGACGCCTCAATAAATTGACAATACCAATTTGCATGCCATTTGGATCATTTCAATTTATTGACGTGGCCAACTAAACATTCCGTTGGCGCCTGGCCAAATCGATGCAGCATCGAGAGGAAAACAACACAAAAAACAGGCACACACACACGAATACAATATACACACACACATATATACATAGATTGGCATTAGAAAGAATAGCAGAAGAGAAATAAATACTCCACTCAGAGAAATGTCTGTCTAACGATTGAGGAATAGAGGCCAATTTGGGGCGTGGCTGCCAAAGCTAAAGTAAACTTAATAGAAAATGAAAGTATTAAAGCTAAAACTAAAAACTATAACGAGGTCGTTGAAGCACAAAGTAGCTCAGAATAAATGCAATATTTTGTCGATTATTTACATTTCATGAATCAATAAATAATACTATACATGTATATACAAATATATATCAAATAAGTAGCGTGATCATATATACAATGTGTGCTACAAGAATGTGAGTAGATTGAGTGACCCTCGCCGCCGTGAACTCTATAAGTTGCGTGTGCTGGTAATAGATCAGCTTACCTCTCGTGGAACGCTTCTATCGGTATTATCACTAGCAATATCTGTATTATCCGGCGTTTTACGCTTTAGCATAGCAGCAAATTAGGGGTTAAAATGACAGATATTTAATTTCGGTTAGATTTGAAGTTTTTAGTTTGGACGAAACGCAAAACTCTCAAAGAACTGGTTTTAGCATTAAAGAATAACAACAATCTTCACACACACTTTGAAACGTGAATAAATTACGAAGAGAGACAGAGTGTGTGTGTGTGTGAAACGAATGAAATATTGTGGAGAGCACTTACCATATTGTCGCTCAGAGACTGATGCACATTATCACAGAAGATGGTCCACCAGTGTTGGATAAGGTCTTGCGCATGGGCGTATTCGCTGGGCGTGGCAACGCTCTTTGTCTCAGAGTTGAACTGTATGAGCCATGGCTTCAATTTGCCAGCAAAATGCAAAATCTTAATCTTATCTCTGAACCTGAAAGACATATTCATGAATATAGAGTCGCATCGAGTGCACGAAACTTACTGTTTGAATGCGGGCAAATAGCAATAGGAAGCATAGGCCGTAACATTGTAGACAAATGGCAAATGCTTCTTAATATCTGCGGTCGCCCAATCGCCAAAGAACTGATTCAACAGACCCTGATCGCCGCCATCGAAGCTGCCATTCTGCACTGCAAACTCTGTGATCTTGCTGAAGGTGTCCACGCTGGGTTTGAACACAAAGACGCCCGAGTTGAAGCAGTCTGGCCAGCTGACATCTGGAGCAGCGGAGAGCTCGTCGCGCTCAAACAGTTCATCGCAGTTCTGCAGCACCTGTAGCCGAGTGAAGAGGGAATTATTAGAATATGTTTATGTATTACTTCATAGATTCCTGGTCTACTTACCAGCGTATCTGCGTCGAGGAACACGCACTTCTCGAACTGCACCAGACGCCAGCAGTGGAGCTTTGTGAAGGTGACGCCCAGTTCGGGGCGGGCGAGAAGTGCCAAATTGGCAGCATCCTGTGAGTCAAGGACATTCACCTCTTGTACAACATTGTACACGTCCTTCAGTCTGTCGCGCATCGCCTCCGATACGGTGGGCGTCACCAGCACAGCCAGCTGGTGAGCGGTGCCGGCACGCTTCAGCGAATGTGCCAGCACCAGGGCGCCCAGCGAGTAGTTATCATTTGTCGTCAAGGTAACCCAGGCGAATTCTGTCAAACAAGAGCACGAAGAGCACAAGATGTTAGATCAGTTTGCTTAGTTATAGCTATATACATTGGAAAGTAATCATAGTTAGAGGAGTGAGCCACACAGATACACATAGACAGTTGCAAGGGCAAGAGCTTGGCATTAGCACAAGTTTCTTTTTCTTTTTCTTCTAAATTTCCATTTTCCATTTTCATTTTTCTTTTATTAGTTTGGCATTCAGCAGGCGATTTATGGATTATAAATACACAAGCAGCAGGAATATATATATATAGAGATCTATATAAATATAGTTTATATAGATACACGATCTAGTCGAATGAGTGAGTGTGAGAGTGTCTGCGTGTGTGTGTGCGCGCAGGCATCTGCGTCAACAACTTGTGGGCGGGGCACGCGGCGATCGCATGCAGCATTTTTGGCAATGTTTTCGATTATTTTGGGTTATATTGAGGCCCATTTCGGCTATTTTGTTGGATTCGCAAAAAAGCAATAGAAGAAGAAGAATAAGCAGCAGTAGAACTAGCAAAAAAAACTCATTTCTCAGGCGCATCTATTTAGTCAGCAAATTATATTTTGCGTTGTTGGCATTTAGTTGTATCAACTATATATATACTATATATATATATACATAGATATACATAGATATACATAGATATACATATCTATATAAATGAGCCATGTACATTCCACTAGCCAAATAAAACTGAAATTTAATTTGGAAATGAAGCATTAATGTAGGCGTTGAGTAATTGTATTAACGAGCTCTTTAATGTTAAATGGAAAATGAATTTGTTGGCGGTTAGACTAAGGCTTAAATATTACGCTAAATATAATATATATACATATATATGTAACAGATCTTACAGTTCGTAAATTTAGCTAAGCTTTCGAATTCATATTTCATAAAAATATTTTTTCCTTTCTTTTCTACGTTTAATTTAAGTATTTGTTAATAGATCTATATAATTTAAATGAATGATTATAGCTTGCAACAATGTTGCATGATGCATAGCTAAATGTCATTTTTATATGCACATAAAATATTAAAATTATTCTTCAAATTGCCTGAATCATTTCTAGAATCTCTTGCCAATGGCTCAACTAAATAAATTTATACAATTTAATAATTAATCTAACGTAAAACTTATTTAATATTAATAGAAATAAATATGTAAATTATAAATAAATAAATATTCATGCAAAAAAGAAAAGAAAAGAAAATTCAACATAATATCGTCGTTATTATAGAAGTATTAAAAATTTATTTTCAGTTTGTATTATGGACAATGGTTGGAACATTCATTTCTACTACTTGAGAAGAATCTTTTGTACAGGTGGCTGTAAAACACTTTAGTTGGGGTTAAATTCATGATTAGTTCGTTTGGTTGGGTTTATTTGGTTTTTGATTGTAGTTTGTTTTGGTTTTTGTTTTTGTTTTAGCTAAATAATCTGTAAGGTTTATTTAGCATTAGAAAGCGCACCGGATTTTGGTAGTTGAGAAGCGTTTAGATGTAGCTAAATATGTGAATTGCAACAACAAGAACGAGAACAAGAACTACCTTCTGTGCTACGCATTCGGCAGCGAATGGAAACGACGGAGGAGGAGGAGGAGCAGCGACAGCAGCAACAGCAGTAGCAGCAGCAACAGCAACAGCTGAATGCATTTTGGTCACCAAAGTCTGTGCCGCCGTCCGGCAGGTGGCGCTCTCATATACGAAAATGTATCTGACGGATTTAATGGATGTGTGTGGGTGCAAAATAATGCGACTTCAGGGTGTTGTTGAAATCTTTTTGTTCTTTTTTTTTTTGGATGTGTTCGTTCTTGACATTCTTTTTATTTTATGTGTGCAATGAGATGTTGTGCCTAAAATAAAAATGAAATCATTTACTTGGCCAAACTAAAAATGGTTTTTAATAACTTCGTGACTTACCGGATGCGAGCACAAACAACAATAATATGAAAATATCATGTCACAACAATAAAAAACAAACAATATATGTATATCTATATTTACCGAAAGAAAAATATCAAAACGAATGAAATGACATCCATAAATTTTGATTTAAATTAAATAAACAACACTTGGCTGTCCAAACTGAAAAGACAACTGTTCAAGTTGTCCAAATGTCACAAGGAATTTCAAAAAACGAACCGATCTTAAAAAATATTCTTATATATATACCTGCTTAACTAGTAATATAAGCAATTTTGATGACAGCTGACAGCCTGTGCAAGAAATCAATTCGAAATTGTGCGCAGTGTAACCGAAAGCTTGCTCGCTCGCTCTCTTAGCTCTAAGTAAAAGCTCGCTCAGCAGCTGCAGCGCTCTCTTAGCTGGCAACTTCTGCCCTCTGCCCTCTGCTCTTTGCCACTGCTCAGCAATGGCTAATCATCAGCTGATTGGCTTGCAGTTCAAAAGGTCAGCGGCATGGCAAATGCTCAATGAGCCGTAGAGGATTTCATTTGACCTATGAATGAGACGAGCTTGTGAATGAGGCAGAGAGCACCAAATGCAGTGGCATGGCCAGACCAAAACGAAAACTCGTTCATGCAACGCCGCCAATGCCAAAGTGAACGCCACATTTTGCGGCAGCCGGCAAAAGCCATGCCCGACTGGCAAAGACCGGCAAAATTCAGCGAGTGCAGCAATGCCAACATCCAAAACGAGTTATACGTCAAGCGTATGTATCTGCGAGATATACGTATGTATAAATATATAGATATATATATATATCTGTATCTGGCGAAGAGGCCACTAAAAATAGCCAGAAAATGTGAAATGAAATTGTAGCGCGACAAGCAGCGAACTCTGCCAGCTGCATGCAGCACACGCATATACACAGATACTCAGATACAGATACAGATACGCACACTCATAGATACAGATACATTTTTAGAAATCGCAGCAAGGGAGCTACTCAAACTGGAGAAGGCAGCGCCTTATGATTTATGCGGGCATCAGATACAGTTACACACACACACACTCGCATACAGATACATATACTTATGCATATGTACATATATGTGTGTCTATAAGTATTGGCATTTATTTAATTTTCTTTTAATTTTCTGCTTCTGGCATTGTGGGCGTTTTTGGCTGTGGAAAACTTTTTCTTCTCGAAAATTTTGAAATACCACTGAGAATCGTTAGCGCCTGTCGCCAGCCATAATTTCTAGATGTCTGCTATGTCTATAAATAGATCATCTATAACTAATGCCTGCGTTTGCTTATACAAATAGAATATGATTATATTTATTCGATTCATGCATTTCAAACATGACGCGTGTGAAAGTGCCAAGGCGAATGCAGTTCTAATGAGCTAAGAAATGGGCATAGGGGCATTCGAATAAACTAAATGCGGAAATTGTAATCTGGCTGATAATCATCTGTATTTGCTTTTTGCTGCCTGGCGCTAGTTTGTACAGTTACTTACATAGGTCGTGACTTGCTTTAATCAATGGGCGCTGACGACGACAATTGACAAGTGACAACAAATCTGGCACTGACCTTCACCACGCGCTCTCTTTTCAAAAGAAAAGAATATGAAGAAACCCACAAATATTTGCTCACCATGCAAAATCGTTGAATAGCGATACAATACAAAAGCGAGTAGCGGTAAACGCTCTGTTTACGCTCTTTATGCATTGTCGAGCATAACTGGGCTTGCGCTCTCAGTCAGTTTCTCTCAGTCTCCCTCTCACGAACTTTAAGCTTGACTCTCTGGCGTAGCTTTGGCACACGTAACACTATGTGTACGTTATCAGTGCGTCAACATTTGTCTAAGTCAATTTCGCGCATACTTTTCATAAACAAACAACTGACGTTTTACGTATGGATGTGTGTGTGTTTTTCTTATATATTTTTCGTCTTTTTCTGATGCGCTTTGTTTTCGAAATCTAAATGCTCTGCATGCACACACACACACACATACTCGCCGTCATATGCATACACGCACAGGCAGAGGCAGAGGTAGAGGTAGAGGCAGCGGCTAGGCAAATGCTATTGAAGGTCAATAAAGGTCGTCGCCGCAATTTGCTGGCCTCAAAACACATGTAGTTGACAATCTCATATTAACTGTTACATATCAACTATATAGAATCTATATGCATTATGCAAAGATGCGGCGTTATGAAATATGAGAATGCAATCGATTTGCGGCATTTATTAATTGCGATAAAAAGAAACAGAGAAGAGCTGCAGTCTCAGTCGCAATTGCAAATACAATTGCAAAGGGATGGCCCAGCAGCGCCTCTCAACTTGGATATGGATAGGCAGTAGCCATGCATAGTACACACATACACACGCACACAGATTCTCTTTAATTTTAACTTTTTTATCTGTGTTCACTTCTTATGCACGCTTCTTTGGCTGCGAACGCTGTTGGTAAAAACTTACTGCTCATTTTGTATTTGTTTAATTCTTTTTGTTTGTTAACTTAATTTTTGATATATTTTATAAACACACGCGGACCGAGTCCTTCGCGATTTATTGCGTTCCGGGGATGAAATTTGGTGGTGGAGGGTGGGGCGTGCCCGTTGGTTGAGCTTTCACACACTGAGTGACGAGAGCGAGTCGAAATGTCTGAGTTGCCTGGCGGAGGTTTTTGCGTTTAGCTGTTCTGCCTACCACGAGCGACGACAAGAAACTGAATGTGTCGAGCAAACGAAAACTCCGGACAACGACAAAGCAGAGTGACGGCAACTGCGCTGCCGTGGACATTTGAACGTGGGGGCTGTGCTTGACGTCGCCGTCGCAATCGGTTAGTTGTCGCCGCCATCAGGCAGCAACCACAAAACTGCTGCGGGAGGCGAGGGCATTCGCGAACCGACGAGGAAGGCGCCAAAAGTGAATTTTGCATTATATGCTCGCTTGAATTTCATTTCTGTTATTCTCGTATTCTTCTGTTTCAAGCATATTCGCCGGCTATCTGTGCGCAGTGAGAGATTGGAAAAGAGAGAGTAGCAGGCGAACGAGCGCCAGAGGTGCGAACATATGTAAAGACAAACAGCAAAAGTCAACAGCTGCTCGCTCACTGCGCACTCTCTTAAATTATTGTAGCGTTTCAGCTTTTTAAGAGTACAAGTGCACTTGTTGCATTAGTAAAGGCCTTGAAAATCTTAATTACGAAAGGTGTTAGAAAATAATTGGACTGCTTACAGTAACGCTTATGAAGGAAATTGTTTAAGTTAGTTAAGCTGTAGATTATAATTATCAAAATGTCTACTTTATTCGGCTACAAACATGTTTGAGCATATTTACTTGCATGCGGACATGATTATTCAAGTTTACACAAGAACTATGCAGTGTACTTTGACCTACAGATTAGTGAGTACACACAAAGTAATCAATTATGAATTGTCAAATAGATAAAAATTGATTTTTAAGACAGAACTTCCACTCTCCCCACTTACCACTATCCTTGTGTTTCCTCTTTTTCAAATTTCCAATAACCAATCAAAACAAATTGGCCAACATACAGTTACACGTTTATTGGAATTCATTTATTTTGCGATGCACGAAAGTATGCAATGAATTTTGCATGATGTGAATTTAAAGCTCAGTGCAAAAGTAGGCAATATTTACTTAAAATTTAAGTGCGCTCGAAAGTATGCCATAAAATATAACTTAGAATTTAGTTCGCGAATAAACTTTAGAACAAATTTTAGCTAATTAAATAACAGATAAGAATTTAAAATTAAATATACATGTGGTTTTGGCATTTGTTAACTAGCATGTGTACTTTAGATTATTGTCGCCCCCAGATAAAAAATAATATATACATACAACTACGTTTTGGAGGGTTCGCTTGCTTATACTAAAAGGCAGCATTTCACTTGGCTCAAATCGCATGCAAAATAAAAGTAAAAAAAATAGCTTTAAAATCTAAATCAAATGTATGGAACACTTCATAAATTGCTTGAGCACTTGAGGCACTTGCTAGAGTTTTTGGTACACGTAGTTGGCATATGGCAATTCGATAGATAGTCTGTGGTATACTAAACTAGGTGTAACTAGAGCTAGGCTAATAAATAACTATAAACTAACTACAGATCGATCTTAACTAGGTGTAGGCTTAGGGTCATGCTGAGGCAGTATCACAGTGCAGGGGCTCGTCCTCCAGCCGATTGTTAATTGCATTACGCGGCGATATCACAAAATGTTTGCGATTCTGTATCGATTGGCTAAGACGTCGATTGGCGCGTCGTTTGCGCCATCTGTGGATGCAGTACCAGAACACTGTGAAGAGAAATCCATATTATATATATACACATATGCAAGTTGAGGTGTTCTGCTCGTGCCAACTCACCCAACAGCACCAAGATGACGCCACCAAAGCAGCCAGCGGCAAAGAGCCAAAGGCTGCGCGTCTCGGCCAACTCTACGCTGTCCAAGCAACTACGGAATGTTTCCGAGTTAACGGTGCGATTGTAGGGCAGTGGACACGCGCTGCTGTCTAGCGAATCTGTAAAAAGCAAATTTCAAAACTTGGTCACATGCCAAAATTAGCTGCAGCAGCAGCAGCAGCAGCAGCAGCAACAGTTGCTGCATCTTCTGCTCTCTCTCTCTCTCTGTCTTTGTCTCGCTTACCCATGCAAACGGGCACAAATTTGGGATTGGCGCCTATCGCCATTAGATGATTGGTCACCTGCTGGCAGTCGCATGAATTGATCTGAGTTCGCATCAGATCGATGACCCTTAAATGGCACATATTGGCCAGCTTCTCGATATGAAAGTTAGTCAATGGATTTGTCGAGACGTTTAGCTGCCAGAGATCTGCAAAAGGCATAAGATATGTGAGTTGATGTCAAATTTGACAAGCACTTAAACTAAAACTTAAATGAAGTGATGAAGATTCGTTACTCACTTGGCAGTATGCCCAGATCGGGTATATCGTGCAGCTCACAATTGGCCATATTGAGGTATTCGAGCGGTGCACGAATGGGTCGCTCCAGCGTTTCGATATCTTGATGCAGCTGCCACAGATCGTTGCTGTCTATATAGAGATTGCGCAGCCTGGGCAACGAGAATAGCTCCATGGGAATCGTGGTCAAACCATTATTCGACAGATCAACTTCCTGTGCATCGATCGATGATTAGTTCGTAATTGCTGAGCTTTAATTAAATATTTACGGCTTACCTGGAGCGAGGTGAGCGGCGCAAATGTGCCCGGCTCCACTGATAAGATCATGTTCTCATATAGCATTAAAAACTTAATATCGGTATACCTCTGGAACGAGCCACTTCTCAGCTTCCTAATGCGATTGTACGATAAGTCCAGTACCTGGAAATAAACAAAACAACAAATTATGGCTTTAATTCGCGCTTTATAATTGTTCCAAAGAAACTGTTTAGTCATGATAAAGGCAAGTCAGAGATAGGCAATGGGGTCTGACTGCAGGTAGGTATACGAGTACAAGTGTAAGATATCTTTAGGCTATAGCTGGCTATAGTAGAATGCATTTGAAGTGCTCTTCTGCCTGAACAGTGGGATAAATGGGCATAGAAATCAGTTGAGTGATTCAGATGAACTGAATATAGCTTGAGCTATATGCAGCTTTTAGCTAGTATTCTTAAGATCAACTTTCTATATGAACTCAGTTCTTTATGTGCCTGCTTTGCTATGGCAAATTACTTGTTGAATAACTGAAGTTTCTTAATGTAATAATGATATCCATAAAGAAGTAATTGCCAAAGCGCAAGTCACTGCCAGTTGATATACGATTTTTCCTAATTTTGTATACAACATTTGAAACATCCAAAATCTGTGTATTCCTCACAAAAGTCTTCAAAGCAAATTTGGAATCGCTTGCTTTTATGGCATTCGAGCTACGCTTAAATCAACTTGAAATATCGATAAAAGGCAATTTAAAGAAGTTATCGATAACAAATGCAAACCTATACTAAGTTTGATATACCAGAATCTATATTCCAGAGCGTCAAGGCTCTAGCTGTGGTAGCTGATGAGCTCACTGGTTTCATATGAAGGAAAAGGCAGACAGATGGAACGATTCAGCTTGTCTAACTGCTTAACTATAGGTATACTTTATGGATATATATATGACCAATACGTATAGTCAAACAAAATCAATAAGCCATTATGTATACAAACTGATTTCCCAGCTGCAATGAGTTTAGAATAAACGAAAATATAATTGAAATTAATAAAAATTTAAGGAATTTGCTTGAAAAACATTAAAATTGATTTCAATTTGAGCAAATATTATGTTACAGATATATATATATATATATATATATACATATACATACATATATATATAATAATAATATATATATATATATTAATTTCTAACCAAAACTAAAGAGACTTCTATCGTAATTCTCTACATTGAATTCTATTCTAAACAGAAGCTTAGAATCTTTAAATTTTCAATTGAAAAAGTTACAGTTATATTCAATTTATGTTTCAGTTACTGCAGCACTACTATTTTTATGAACACAACTGTCGATGGTTTTTCTCAACTGGCGCGTCTCTCATGCAAATGCCGTGTTATTCATATTCATGTGGGCTATATTGGCGCATGTTTTATGCCAAGCGACAAGTGAACTCTCTTTATGCTTTAATTAAGCCAATTGAGCTTGGCTGTGTGTCGAGTGGGGTCTGCTTATGTGCAATGGGGGATATGCGAGAGACTTGAATTAAGTTTGGGTCATGAGATTTTTATTAAATGAAATTGAACTTATTTGTGGCAGGTCGCCCGGCTAATTGGTGTCGGGCGCGACTCACCTCAACGGACGTCTTCATGTTCTGCGGCACCTCCTTGAGATCCATGTTGTAGCAGCGAATGCGCATCAATTTCTCAATCCGCCCCACCGAGCAGCGTCGCTCATCCTGGCTGGCAATGCCAAAGGCCAGCATCGCATTAACAACGGATATGAAGACAATGTTCAGCAGCAGGTAGCGCAGATCCATGCTGCAAATAGCATATACATAAATACACATATAAATATATAAATATACACATAGATAGAGATTATATTGAATGTGAAAACAAATATTGGCCCCAGCCATGGAGCATCAATAGCGCCTGCTAAATCTTTATTTCTCTCTCGCCAGCTTTTTATTGTGCTGTTTATTTCCCCTCGGATTGTCTATCAAATAATAAATAAAACTACAGTGGGTGGTTACACACAGCGGCCCGACCAGTGAAGCAATTATTTTCGAATTAACAAATTACAAGATCAATGCCGCGCCATTGAGGATCGTCAGGTTGTGTCCCATTTACAAAGCGTTCGATCAAGCGGAACTCTGCTGGGCGTGCAGCGAGTGTGTGGGCGTGGCTGCGAATTGAATTAGTTGTGAACTACAACACAAACGGCGCGCAAAATAAATAAAACGCTAGGTCAATGCGGCGTATGAGTGATGTTTGCTTTGTATTAAGTGAATATTACGTATACGACCTGCTATTGTTCGGCTTGGGCTCAGTGTCAAGGGGCACAACAGCCAAAATGCATTGCGAACTGCCCACTTAGAGCCTCGACAACATGCATGACTCGCACATACCCTGTAAATTGTTCGTTCTTCAGCAGAAGGCAAAATAAAAATGCCTAAAAACTTCTCCGTGATTAATACGCAGCTGAGTCGTGCCGGAAATAATTTACACTCTGCAATTTTGAATTAAATTTTATAACATTTTATTCTTCAGCAGAAGCCAACGCATAGATCTGACTCACCTGCCGCTGACAACCGCATTAAAGTTTCTTAGATTTCTGTTGTTACCCCTTTTTTTTATTTTCATTAACTTAAACTATCTTATCGCTAAAAATAATATTTATTATATATCTCTTTTGATACCAAACATCAAACAGCTAGCACAATAACTCATAACTCAAGAATCAGCGCAAGAATCTTTTATGGAACGTGTCAAAACACACAAAAGCCAAAAGAACAAAATAGAAAATAAAAGCAAAACAATTATTGAACACAGACAAATGTAAATTGATTAATTGCCAAGAGCAACAGACGCGCTGGGATAATCTGCCGCATGGCAAATGGGGCATATGCTCGATCTTCCGAAGAAAAAGCTGAAAATGAAACACAAATTACAATTGGTAAAAGTCATGCAATAGGCAAATGTTTCAAGCTTCCCCTCCCTGCCCCCACCCCCTTTTGCACGTGCCAATTTAAAAGTTTTTGGTGGAAAACAGTTGCGTGATTCCGACTCCGACTGGAACTGCAAAAGCTGTATTTATGACTAATTCACTGCTGTCTTTGTTCCCTATAAACACAAATATATCGTATATATATACTCATTGTTTGCATATATAATTTTACAAAATATAGTATCGAGTATACAGCAGCCGCGACCACCACCTCGCCTGCGCACATTTCTGTGCGGCATTCATAATAATTTCAGGTCTCAAGTTCAGCTTATAAGAAATGCATGGCTTGACAGGAATTGCATGCGCTGTGTAGAGAGTAAAGAGGGCATATTAGCTTGACTAAATGTATATTTAGGTATAGGCTATCTGCCAGTCGAGCATACTCACAGCTTAAGAACTGGCCTATTTGAAGAGAACTTAACGTGCCTAAATGATGTATGGGTTGGCGGTCTTCTATCTCTATGGCAATTACATTTGAGCGCTATAAGACACATGCCAAAGCCACTTGGAGACGCTACAATAATGCATGGGCTTAAATGTCGATATTTAATCAATAGCGCGCAATAAATAAAACAAATAAACCAATCAATGCTGATGTCGAAATGTTTTAAAATCTTGGCCGAGTAACTGACCAACAATAGCCGCGAATCATTCGAATTTCAAAATGTTGTTAAGGTGATAAAAAGTGAGCGAAGTCCAGAATAAAAAACTTGGACAATGTCCAGAAATTGATGTGCTCCAATTGGCATAAATAGTTGACGCATATTGCGAGCAAAAAGTATGATCGAGTTGAAGGTTCACACAGTTCCAAGAATTTATGACAAAAGATTTCTGATTTCATCATATTATTTTTTAATTTAAAAAAAATTTATTATTTTTATGTTGTAAACATAAGATAGACACCGTTTTAATATATATAAAAAAATATTTTAGAAAAAAACAACAAAAACTAAAATAAATAAAAAATCGTGGCAAAAATGTGTGAAAAAACATTTAAAAATTTTACAAAAGGTAAAATATGTTGATAAAATGTAATACAAAAAATTTAGCAAAAAAAAACTAAAACTAAATTAATCAAAATAATTCATTTAATTACTCAACCAAAACAAATGTATGAAAAATAAACAATATCATGTAAAAGAGAACTTAAAAAATGTTAGGAAAACCAAAAAAAAAAATTTACTATAAAAGAAACAATTAAGGAAATTTAAAAAAAAATAAATATTTAATCCTTTAATACTAAAACATAAATTAACTAATACCATAAAAGCGAAATTTGGTAATCCATAAACGCACAAAACTTTTACTCAAGCTTAAGATTTTACTCGAGATGTCTTAAGTCTATAACTAAAAGTCAATATAAGAGCTGAGAGTAACAGGAAAACTTAAAGTTCACTTGAAACAAATAAGGAGAAGGAGCAGCAGCTTTATTTAAGACAGCTTTTCCAAATAAATATATACATTATATTGCTCACAGATCAGAGATCGATCTACTTCAGCCTGTCATATGCATTTCATTGCCAATTGCTGCATGCCTCTCCGAAACAGGTATGCAAACTATTGTCACGCACTGTGCGAGTACCTCTGTCATTAGAATGCACGAAACAAAACAAATATACATATAAAAAAAAGAAAATTAAAGTGATTTCCACACATTTCCACACGAAACACGACCGCAACAATGAGCTCTAGCTAAAAATACTTATCTGTTGCTTCTTTCCTTCTGTCTGCTTTTTTGTTGAACAAAAAATTCTAAATTAAATTTAAAAAAGCCGAGAGAAACAGCCGCAAGTGGAAAAATGTATTATAAAAAAAAAAACAACAATAATTTTTAATTCATTGCAGACCTTAATATGCCACAAAATAAAATATTTGATTTCGTTTCATTTCCTTTTTTTGTATAGATTATGGCCGGCATTTGTTGGGGACTTAAGTTCAATAGAATTGGCAATAAAATATCTGAGAGGAAGGGCTAAAATGCCACAAGAGAAACTTTTTCGATAGCCATAAAAACAGATCCGAAACAGCCGTGCCACCAAATGGGGCAAATACGTTCGCGCCTCTGCCCCAGGGCGACTGAAAATTCAGATTTCAATTTCAGAATTTGAATCTGAATCTGAATCTGAATCGTATTTATGCTTTTACCCAACACTTTGTACCATATTTATTTATATTTATGTGGCTCAATCAAGGGGCACAGCCAAAACAATGCAAAGCGAGGAGACGAGGAAAATATTTCATAAAGAGCCGCCAAGGGCGGGGGTAAGGTAACATAGGCAGCGGCCGGGTGGGTGGGGCGTGTCAGCGTATGGATTACGGCCATGGTCCATGATAAAAATATGTACAAAATATTATTTATACGCATATAAAGCAGGCAGATGTTAAGCAAGCGATTAGGGAGCTCAGTAAAAATCACAAAAAAAATCGTAAAAAAAACCAAAATTGAAAAACTTAAAAAAATGGAAAGGAAAAAAAAGAAAAAACTTTAAATTAGTTTCAAATATTTTAATAACATTCTAAACATTTGTGAATGGATTTATGTGCTCCGCTGATGCTCACTGTCACACTTTGTGGGCGTAACGCGATGTTCCAAATATACACGCACACACATAGCTGTATATGCCACCCCTCAACAGGTGTGTGCCTCCGCTTTGTGAAAGATTTATTTTCATTTCTGTGCACTCTTGAGATAAAGATTTATTTGTTTAGACTTTGTGTGCTAGCAGAGGGGGATCGCGGCTACGCCCCTGCCCACTTCTTCCTCTTCTTCATCTACTCTTTAACTACGAAAGCACACTTTAATGTAACTGAATCTTATCGTAGTGCACAATATGCTACATGCCTGTCGTTATCAACATAATGAAAGAGTTCGTTTTTTAGATGTATTTCTGTTGATACCCGTTAAGAGTGCTAAAAGAGCATATTGGCTGGGCATTAGATTGTAACTAGAGACTGCAAATGTGGTTTTGATGTTATTATTTATTACATATTTGTGTGAAATACTCGCTTAACAAACTTAAGAAAACACAATCATCCACAGCTCTAGACTATGAAATGTACTCTAACAAAGTTCCAGTGATCTAGCATCATCAAGTTCCGCCCTAGCAGGATCCTCTCAACCTGCTCTACAAATAGGCCAATAAATTCCATAGTCCAATCGTTAGGCCCTACCAAATTGCCAAATATCAATGCAACTTGGCATAAGCTTACCTTGTTTGCCGCTAAACGAGCATTATGCAGTCGATTATGCCCGACTGCGTAGGTTCTTACTGGGTTTAAGTGCCAGTTGCTTTAAGAAGGGCAACATCGCTGACGAAAACAAACAAAACTCGAGTCGAAGTTGAGGCAACATGAAATTAATTGAGTGCAGCAACAACAACAACTACAATAGCAACAACAACGTGCAATAAAAACGTTGCCCATTTATTTCAATTAAACACAATCAAGAGCACATTTTTCCCCAGAGACGGTATACCAAAAGAAACAAAAACAATAAACTTCCAAGTAACAAAAAATATAAACGAGCTGCTTCAGCAAAAAGTGACCATTGGCATTTGCAATGGGATCCAATTGAAGAACTTATTAGGGAATGCGCTGTTTCTAGGCCATGAGTAACACAACCATCGTATCATATAAATATTGAAAACTAAAGCTCAACTAACAAACAGAGAGCAAGACTCGAACAGAGGAAGTCAACAAAAGAATTTACCAGGATTATAAACTTGCAGATCAATCTCTATATATATAACTAATTGAAGAACTAAGTTTCTTCAGGCAGTAGAGTACTAGTCTAGATTCTAGAAACTAAATTTATAGCTAACACATCTCTAACTAAAGAACGATCCATCTTATATCGGAAGACTTTAATGGAACACTTTCAGTAAAGCTGTCTTATAAAAATAACTTAAGAATCATCTAAAAAATAGTATATATATATATATAATCACATATTTATATCTTTATATATGTCTGATAAGCTCTTAAAGTTTTTATAGTTCAGCATAGCTTTCTTAGCTTGTAGAACATTGCCAAAAAATGTCATAAAGATTCAGTTTATATTGAATGGAGATCATAACAGATCATAAAAATATATTTATAGTATTTAATTTTTCAAAAATGTCTTAAAAACTGTCTTACAGTTATGAAGCATAACTATTGAATAATATAAAAGTATAAGTACTATCCAGAGATACAGAGCAAGTTAAGATAGGTCAGACGTATAAACAAAATGATCTCGAGCAGCGACTGAGATTAAGACTTTCAAAATGATAAGATATAGTAAACATTTCTGCATAACTTCATAAAGCCAGTCAGCAAGTTAAAGATAGATTGGTTACTCTTCGTTACCAAGAACAATTCTAAACGATCATCCACTTCAGAAAGTTTAAGTATCAGCAATAGCAGTTGCTGTAGATTGGGCGCTATTGGACGCGAGAGACTAGCGTCGTGCTTTATAGCAGGCAATTTCGACAAGTAATTCCTTTCATTCCCCAACTGTTCTACTTAAATGATATTTAACAATTTGAAATAAAACTGAATTTGATAACGCGTCACACAAATGGGGTTATATTAGCTGAAATTCGATCTCCGATTAGATTATGACGAATAAAAAAACAAAATTTAAGCCGGAAGTACGAACGTTAGATATCGATAATAATCGTTTTGCAGGACAAGTTATCGATCGTTTTAAGACAAATTTGAGTTGCGCGTGCTATACAGATAGAGTTCAGGCTATATACGTCTATATTTCCAGAAAAACTTTGTACCCGAAATTGCCATTTCAATGTGTTCAGCTTCGACTAATCTAATCTCGTTCTGCTTATCCTTCATCTTATATGTGTATATATAAACAAGTTCTTATGAAATATAATTGAAAATTATTTTCAATTTCAACCACGCACGACGAGCGCTTAACTTTTCTTTTCATTGCGACACAGTTTGTGCCCTCTTCTTCTTCCACTTCCACTTCGTTCAATTGAATTCAATTTAACTGTAGTTTTAGTTCAGCATGCTGCGAACATAAGGTTCAAAGCAGACTAAAGTAAAACTTGAAACACAAAATTCTGTTTAATCTCTGACTAAGCGATAACCCTTAGCATTAAACCCGAGCAGAGCGTGCTTACCTCTTAGGTAATCCCATAGATTTGTGATGAATATTTCCATTTAACGTGCGTTATCCTGAGCAGCCATGATTTATATACACTTTTAGCTAGATCATTTCCTTTATTTATTGTGATCGTATATCGTAGATGTGGATAGATGGCGAGAGACACTGCACAAAATTTATTTTCGTTTCACCCGAAATTTCAGTCGTATTTCAATTAACACTAAATTCTCTTTTCTATTTAATTCTTTTTAATTTTTACGAATCGCGACGAGCACCGGAACCGAACCGCCCTGTACGACTGACGACTTGGAATTGAAGCGAACGCAGCGTCGATCGCAGGTCTCTCGCGTGGTTTGCCCGTTTGCTGCCTTTCGGCTAAGCAGCCGAGAAGAAATTGCTGATCAACGACAATGCAAGTAGTGCTGCCACTTCCGCTATTTTTTCGATACATTTCGCTATTTTCTAGTGAATCCGTGACTGCCATTATAACTGCTGCTATCAATAAAGCAAAGGATGTTAAGCTTTTAGCTATATTTTTTCTGAATACATACAGCAATTTAATATTCTTGCTTGTTACTTGTTACTCGGCTGCTTTTACCAAATAATTCAGCTTATTTTCGTTGCTTTCTGATCTAGCTTTTTTTAGCTTCTGTGCTCAACACTAAATGCAATCAATTCGCTAGGGCTGCTAAGCGGTGGGCAAGGCAAAATGAAAATTTAGAGAGCATGATAACCGTTGTTTGCTCTTTACGCTCTCTCTTGCCCTCTCTCACTTACATTGCAGTCCACTCGTGCCACTGAGTGATAAGAATGAAATTGATATACAGAAAGCAATACATTGTAAATACACACTTAAATACGTTTTCAACCCACTGTGCCTGAGCATGGATTTGAATTTGTTCTCTGATTTCAGCAGCTTTAGTTTGTTGTATTTGCCTCTGTGTGCGTAGCTCAATTTCAGCTTCAATTAGCGCGTAATAGCTAACAAATCGATCGGATGAATCCGCTGACGATGTCAACCAACAGCATTTTTGTTCAACTTAATCAAAATCTCACGATCCGTTGCTTCCGTTTCGGAGAAGATTACTTACAAAACTCTGTCTGTGATAAGTCTGGAACTGGACTGAAGTTAGCGTATGCAATCATGAAATTTCTTATCAGCAATGTACCAGTTCATTAAGACCTTAGTCCGAAAAAATGATAAACAAATGAAATATATCAACAAAATTCTTACCCCAACTGACAGTTGTCAAACAAACTTCATTATTGAAAGACTTCGGTCTGGGGATTAAGCAGAACAGTTCTACTTACGGAATTGATTGAAGAGGCTTTAAGGTAATTATAATGTGAATATATCTAGTTGCTATTCTAAAATATTAAAAAATATATATTTAAATTTAAAAGTATATTTACTATATAGTTTTGTTTAACTATTTTAAATCTTGTTTTTGACGTGTTCTGTCAAGCGAGTGTTTACTGTATTGTCAGACTTTTTGTTTTTAAGCTGACGAAGCAAAGTCTGGCCCTTAATACCCTATCCAAATAGCATTAATGCAGAGCTCATCATATACCCTAATTCAATTTATGTCGGGCATTTCCATTAGTCCGTCCAGCAGCGCTATCTGCTACCTGCGGCCAGGTAGCAATTGATTTTAGCTGTAGGTAAATTGAAAGTTCAAACACATCAAATATCCTTTTTGCGCTCTCGCGTTGCGTTTCCTTAGTTTTTCTTTTTATTTATATATATTTATTTTTTTGTTTACAACATGAAAAAAGAAATGGTAGAAAAATATGACATCGCGTTGTGTTTTTTAAAAAAGGTTTCATTTCTTATCTTTTCGTTTCTTTTCTTTTCTTTTCTTTGTTTTGTTTAATATATATCAAAACCCATATTCCATTAGTTTTTAGTCTTTGCTTCAAATTTGTTTTTTAAACTTTTTTTGTGGTTTTTGAAAAATTAGTTTTCCTTTTTTTCTTTAATATAATTAGTTGAATGTAAAGTATTTTATAAAAATGATTTAAATTTTTTTTGTTTTGGTTTTTTTTCTCTCTTTTGGAGTTGAAAATGAATTGAGCAAACGAAAGTCACAAATTAAGAAATAAGTATAAAAAGAAGAAGAAGAGTGTGAGTTAATCGTAAAACAAAAATGTTATAATAAATAAAACCCGCCCATAAATGTTTTAACACACACAGCCGCCCCCCCAAAGAGGGTCTGTCTCTCTCTTTTGATTATATAAAATTGCTTTAAATGTGTGTGTGTGTGTGTTGCTGAGTGTGTGTGTTGGTGTGTATTATAGTTGAGCAATTACACGTTGTTTGCCTTCTCAACACCTGTTCGTTATTTAGATTTGCATCTATATATTTTTCACAAATTTTTTTATTGCATTTGTTTTTCGTTTTGTTTTTTATGCATTTTTTTTTTCAAGTTTTTCGTTTTTTTTTCGTTTTTTTTTTTTGTTTAAATATTTTCATATATATTCGTTTTTTTTTCTTGTTTTTCTTTAGATTATTGATAAGAAAATTATATAATGAGCTTCTATTTTGGTTTTCCATGAAAAATCAATGAAGCTTCCGGCTATATGTAAATAGCACTCAAAAACAAAAATCATGAGCTTGAATAAGTTTAACTTGTTCCAACTAAATTGGGTTAATACAACGGATGTTTTTCTTTTTAGCCAAAAACTAATCACAATCTTTTGCATTCATATTGCAAATATGCTTGAGTGTGTGTGTGTAAAGAGTGTAAGTGTGTGGGTGTCTATGTGGGAGAGTGCTTTTAGCAACTCCTCTAAGAATCGTATGCCTCTCAATTGACTTCATTGACGACTTGCTTTGACGGATTTTGTGTTTGTTGTTGTTTTTATGGCTTCTGTTGCAGACGCAGCTGCTCGCTGATGTTTGTGTTCTGATAGAAGAGCCGCACGACATGTGTCTCACGTTCGTCCTTCTTGGCCAGTATCTCCAGCTGGAATGGTTCGGAGAAGTGTGTATCGATGAATGCACCCAAGGCGGCCACATCACACTTGGCCATGGTGGCACTCTCCAGTTCGCAGTGTTTGCTGTAGCGCGGCGCCTGGGCCAAGTCGGCGGGCAATTGACGGAACTCATCGGTGACTGCATTGTTGCCGAAATCTATGAAATGCACCTCACACTTGCCATCGTCCAGCAGCTTGACTATCTCGGCTCGATAGAAGACCTCGTCCTCGGGGAATTTGGCCACGCACAATGCGCCCACCTGCAGCTCCGTGAAGACGTCAAAGTTTTGCTCAGCATCCAGCATTTTATCGGTCATTTCCTCGAGCGCTGGCACATCCTGTTCCATTTGCACATAGAACGATTTGGCATTGTCATACTGCACCACAATGCAGCTGTGCAGCACAACTTCGAGTGGCTGCTGTACACCAGCCACTGTGCTGGCCAGCTCCTGGGCAAAGTCCTTGTAGTTGATGCGCAGCTGCACCGATTGCTGTGTCTTTGCGGCGTCCACTTGTGGCTCGTTGACCAGCTCGTAGACTTCGCCGAAATGCTGCTCCAACAGCGCTGCGAATGCTTCCTCCAGCTTAGTCTCCGGCACATCCTCGGGCAGCTCGCTCAGCTGGCAGTGCAGTGCCAATGGCGGTATTTCAGAAATTACCTGTGGCAAGGCAAACACCTGCATGGCAATCATGCTGCTGCCGTAGTCCATGAGGAACACCTCGTAACCTTTGTCCGCTTCCAGCATCTGCTTGATGCAACAGCGATAATAACAATCATCTTCCTGGGAAAAACAGACTGCATTCAATTGCACAGCAGGACTGGGAAGTGGCTCCAGCTGCTCCTTGGATATGCCATGCAGAGTCTTAACAATCAAATCCAGCTCAGCAGAATTCTTCTTGAGCTGCACATAGAAACTCTTGGGGGAGCTGCCATGAGAGATGATGCACTCTTTGTTGTTGGCCTGCGCCTGGGGCTTCTGCAGCTCGGCCTCTAGCAGCTCTTGCAACTGCTCGTAAATGTTGAGGGCATGTTTGTCCATGGTCTTTAGCCGCACAACTGGCGGTTGCGCCGATTTATTGATAAACTCCACGGTCACCTCGCCATTGCAGCTGTCGATGAGCGCGTCCAGCGCCTCCCGCGCTTGCTTGGGATACTTGATAAAGTTCGAGCAAGATTCCAAGGCGTGCACCTCTGCCTGAGGTTTCACTTGAACTAGCTCCGCTGGCAACTCAAAGAGCTTCTCGACTAACGCCTGAGTGCCAAAATCTATGAAGAGCGCACGATACTGCATCGATTGCTTGGTCGGCAGAAGTTCCAAGATGCGAGCACGATAGAACTCTTTGTCGTCGGCAAACTGAGCCACGCACAGCTGATCCAAGTTGGCGATCTGTTGCATGGGCTGCAGACTGGCGCTGTCGCCATTCAGCAGCTCGCTGATGTTGTCCATTTGGCCATTGTTCGACTCGAATTGCAAATAGAAGCTAGTGGGGCTATTCACATGCGTGACAATGGCCGTGATACTGTCTACGCCGGCTTCCGACTTAGTATTGGCCTCGGCCTGTGGCTCTTCCTGTGTCTTCGGCTGTTTGCGTGTGCACAGGGACAACAATTGATCCAATACATTATCCTCGTCGAGCAGCAGGTTTATAATTATATGCTCCAGTCCCGGCTGCAGCAGCTGTGTGGTAAAGACCAGCTCACCCTCGCCCGTCAGCTCGGCAAATTTGGTTTCCGCCTCCTGGGACCAGGCCACATAGTTCTCTGGCAGCTGCAGTGCACAGCGTTTCGATAAGCTCGGCGCACTGGCTATTTCCTCTGAAAGCAACAGACACTTTGCCGTGGACGAAGTGTTGCCGTAATCGATGAAACGCACCTCGTAACGGGAATCGGGCAGCTGACGCAGCAGCTCGGCACGATAGAAGAGTCCATCATCATCGAAAAGGGCTGCCACGATGCTGCCCTTCTCGAAACGCTGCAACGGCTCCAACTTTTGCTCTGCATCGCTCAAATAGAGTTCGATTAGCTCCAAGGCTTTAGAGTCACTCTCCAGCTGTATGTAGAAGTCTGCGATGCTGTTTGCGTGCGAGATGTAGCAACTGCTGCCGCTGCTGACATAGTCCAAGGGCTTCGCGAAGCCATCGGCGACCAGTTTCTTGGCCACATCGACGCCTTCGATATACAAGTTAACATAGCTGCGCGTCTGGCAGTCGCCGCGTGTCAAGTACTCGTAGTGGAGAATCTTCTCGTACGAATCATTAAATATACCATTGGCAGCATCGGCCCATTCCAGCTTGCCTTTGGGTGCAATGGGCAGGGCGAAGGGTAGACAGAACGGCTCCATTTGTGAGCATATGCTCTGCTTAATCTCTTTGGCGTCAGAGACACAGTCGGTATTGCCGAAGTCAATAAACTGCAGCACCATCAGCTCAGCATCGAGTATTTTGGCACGGTACCAGGACTTGTCCATGGAATACATGGAAATGCAATCGGCACCATTCACAATCTCTGCCAGTTGCGGCAACGATGGCGACACAATTTGTAGATTCTCTGTTAGGCGCTTTAGCTTAGGCACTGCATCCAGGGGATGGACATAGAAATGTGCAGGATTATCGCAGTGACTCAGCACAGCTTTTTCCATGTCCTTGTATGGATCGGGTGTGGGTGTGATAGCTGCAGCAACAGGTGCTTGAGGTGAAATTGCAGGTGGAATTTCTTCGCTGGCCGTAACTGGTGGCGGCTCCACAACTTCCACTGGCTCTGGTATAACGGGTACAACAGGCGCCGACTCCACAGGCTTCACTTCAACTTTGGGAGCAGCTGGTGCTGGTGCTGGTGCTGGAGCAGAAGCTGCAACTGGAGTAGGTGATGGTGCCTGTTCTACTTGCTTATTACGCTGTTTTGTTTCCTTTGGCTCCTTCGGTTCCTGCTGCGGCTTCTTGGGCTTTGGCGAGCTGTTCGCCGAATTGGATTTGCTCTTGCGCTGCTGCAGCTCTTCATCATCGTCGGTAGTTAGATCGACGCATTCTATGTACTCATAAATATGCGGCTTTTCCTTGTCCAGCTGCTTGCGCATATAATCAATATCCCTGCCCGCAATTAGTTTCTCTGCCTTCAAAGTGTCCAGGACGCTCTCCTTGCCGTTGGGCAGTAAAACGTCGGCAATAAGATGATTTCGTCGTGTCTCAATGGGCTTCACGGTGACCACTTGCTCCTCTAATAGCTTGGCCAGACGCCCTTTGAGCTTCTCATCGTTGTTGATGCGCCCAAAGGGTAAATTAATCTCAACTGCATAGCAGCTTTTATTCACATAGAATTTCTCTTCCAGCTGCTTAAGCTGCTCCCGAGCTAGTTGCTCTGTATTGCCATAGTCAATGTATAACACATCCAAACGCGAGCTCTTGGCATCCTTGGCCAAAATACGTGCTCGATACCAATTACCATCGCTGCCAAGTGCAGCACAAATTTGATCCTTTTCGAATTTACGTAGGTATTTGCCTGCGAAGCAACTGAGTTTAATTGACTGTTTCAAATTGTTATTCCATGTCATAGTTTACCTTTCTTGGTATAAAAGCCATACATATCATCGAGCAGCTGCTTCATGGCTGGCTCAATAACGATGGGCTGCACAAATATGCGATACGATTTAGCTGTATAGACAACCAGGGCTTGAAAGCTATTAACCAAAACTGGATAACCGCAAATGTAAGCGCTGCGCTCCTCCTTGAAGAGCGGCATAACAGGACGCAAGTGTATACTAAAATGTAGTCACATTAGTCTTTGATATATATAAATATAGATAATTCATTTGCCTACATATTGTTCTCACAGACATGCTTAATGTTGAGAGCATACGATTTGCCCTCATAGTGTTCCTTGAAGGGCTTCGCTAACTCTTTGTTGGACTTGACAAACTTGGCATCATCGTAGCTGCACAGGAAGTTCACATCGCTGCAGCTCTCGAGTTGAATCTTGAAGTTTGTCATATCCCGAATGGAGGTGAATTTGCCGCGCACCTGTTGACCAGCCAGAAGACCAACGCGAACAGCTATACAGAATAAGAAAATATAAAGAATCTCGTTTATTTCAAAAGAGTTTCATAGTAATACTCACATTCCGCCACCTCAGTGAGGAACTGAGCATTGATCAACGTATCCCGCAACGAGGCACCATTCACTAGCATTTTAACTATATATGTGCCCCAGCTATTATTATTGTTATTCTGGTGTTGCTGCTGCGAAGGCTGTTTCGATCTGAATTCGCACTCAACCTTGGCATTGGCAGGCACATATTTCTCCATGCGATCCACAATGTATAAATGATCATAGTTCGTTACAATCTTATCGAAACTGCAGCGCTGCGCCAGGCAGGGCACATCTGCAAAGCGCTGCTCCAGCTGCCAGACATCCTCAGAGGTCACAGTCAGCAAATTGCCAGCATCCACACAAAAGATGCGATATTTGCGCAGCATGTGATTACAGGCAACCACAGTTCCTCGCAGTATGGCATTGTCTTTGCGCTGTCGCACCACAACACTGGAGCCCACCTTCAGCTGCAGCGGCTGATGTGGCTTCTGACGATAAAACTGACGCAGTTCGCGCAAAAGACTTTCATATTTGGTCGCTAGCGACTTTGGCACTACGTAGAATTGGAATGGCGAAACCCACCAGGACAAGCTGGCTGCCTCTTTGGTGGGCGTTTTAATGTCCTGGAGCACATAGGCCTTATCCAGCGGTACATATTTCTCCGGCTGCGGCTGCGGTTGAGGTTTGGGCGTTGCTATTACGTCGGCATTGGAGTTGGCATCGCTTTCTACGCCACTGGAACGCTTCGAGCTGCCCGTTGTACCATCCAGTGTAGATTTCTGACGTTGCGACTTCTGTGCAAATCCCTGTGGAGCATTAAGCGAACGTTGATTCGAAGTATTACGCTGAGACTGCTGCAGTTGCTGAGCTTCCTTACGCGGCGATGGACTGTTGCTAAAGCGACTACAAGCAATAGGAAATTAAATATCATTTTATAACCATTTTATACGATTTGCTTTACACTCACGTATTTTTGTTCGCCTCCTGTTTGCCATTTTGCAGACGTGGTGAATCCAAGCGATTGCGTCCATTCTGTCGATTGGCTTTGCGCGGGGAACTCATGCCGCTGGTGTAGCTGCTGGTGCTGTGGTTCTCATAGCTATTGTCGATACGTATATCACGATTTCGTCGTACTAAATTGGAGTCTGCACCATTGCGCTCGAGGCGCGCCTGTTGTATCTGACGTTTAGCGCCGCTCTGCTGCGATTGGGTATCCTTCGAGCTGGTCGAGGCAGAACTGTGTTTGTCCCACTCATTAGCATTAGCGTTGGTATTGGCATTGGCATTGCCATTAGCATTAGCATTCGCATTGGAATTCGAATTTGAATTGTTGATCTTCCTTTGCCTTTGCAGCTGCATGCGATCCTCGCTCTCGACAGTTGTCGAATTGAGCACTTGACCCTTCTCCAGCTGCTGAGGCATTGTATCGGATACTGTTGATTCGGCACGTGTGATATTTGAATTGAATTGACCCTTCTCCAGCGATAGGTACTGCTCGAAAGGCATAGACAGTTTGTAAAGCTTCTTCATCACGTTTAAGTTTCTGGCCATTAGGTTTACAACATTTAGGCCATCAGGCTCGATGCGAAAGACGCGCACGCTAAAGGTGCGACGCCTGATATTTGATTCCTCGGCAAGCATTTCAAATTGATCCGTAATCTTGTCCTGGCTCAGCTCGCTGTTCTCGAAGCCCTTTAGACAGCACTTGATCGCTTGCCGCGGCATCACCAGATGCTTCTCGGCAATGTTGCCTATCAAATGCCGTTTCACGTGCTGCTCATAGCCAAAGTCCACATGACGCACAATGATTGTAGTGTCGTCTATACGCAGTAGCTCCGCTCGATACCATTCGCGATCGCATTTAACGACGCAAGGGGCGCCCAGCACCAGCTGCTCGGGCACCAGTTGATTGATATTATAGTAGGCAAACATCTCGTCCATTAGCTTTTCGAATTGCTCAATGTTGTTGACCTTTTGCACATAGAAATTGCTTGGCGAATCAATGTAACGTATCTCGACAGCATCATCGTTCTGCAGCTGCTCCGCCTTGGCATAGGCTTGGCGAGAATTCTTCAGCTTCTTAAGCACCTCCAGCATGCTGTTGTTCTGTAAAGTAACAATACAAATTAACAGCTGCACCTAAATTCCAATTAAAGGCACTTACATTATGCATCAGTTGGCAGGTTTGCATTGAGCCCACACTCTCAGGTGCCTGCACAGTCAGTTGAAAATTAATATACAAAGCGGAGTTCTTGAATATCCGCTTCATACTTTCATCGAGGGCGCCCAACTCTTTGGCGCCTGCTAGCGCAAAGCGAAAGGCGAATGGTTTGATCAGCAACAGGTCCTGTGGTATCTGATAGAGATCTGTTAGTGCAACCATCTCCGAATTGCCATAATCCACATAGACAACACGGAATCTCTGGCCGTAGACGGCACTAACTAAGGCGCGATAGCAATTGCCATCTTCAGAAAAGCGTGCCACGCACGCCGTACCCACGCTCGGATACTGAGTGAGCGCCTGCAGGCGCATATGCTCAATCTGGCCCATCATGACATTCAGATCTCTCGTGGCACTCTTCAGCTGCACCCAAAACAAATGCGGACCATTCTCCACAAAGCTTACATAGACATCGTAAGTCAGGCCAACGGTCAGGCTGGTGGTACGAAAAGCCGGCATAATGGGTTGCAATTGTTGCTGTTGCTTTTGAGCTGCCGCCTTTGGTTGTTGCGCCAATGCATAACGTGGTATGGGCACAAAGTTCAACGATGGCTGCTGCAGCAATGGCAGCTGCTGCTGTTGCCGATGCTGATGCATGGGATTATTAAGGCGCACATTATAATACATATTCAGTGGCCGTGGATTTGTTTTGGGCGTGTAGACATTATGAGTGGACTCGGAAGTTTTATTGATATTGGCACTATGTTGATTGTATGGATGATTCGCCGCTGCATAGACGGCCGCTTTCTGAGCATTGACTAGGTGAGCAGCTGTTGCCGCCGATGCCGCCTGGACGGGATTTGGCATGACATTTGTCTGAAAATCAGTCATTATTTTAGATAAATATATATATATTTTTTTCAGGTGTAATTATAGATACCAAGTTGGCTAATGGCGTAGGCATCACCACTTTTGTTGGCAGCTGCACCTGCGGCTGCTGCTGTTGCAGTGGCTTGGGTGGTGTATACTCGTTGACTGCTGCTGCTGCTGGTGCTGTTGCTTTGAGAGGCCGTGGCGGCGTTGTGCCCAGCGTGCGATGCACGTCGAGTCGAGCTGCTAGTGAGAAGCGCGCTGCAATCTGTTCACGTGCCACATCTGTGGGCGTTTTGTTGGAGCCGTTGCCCGTGCTCTGTATGCTATTATTATTGTATTCAATGATGGGCGATTGTGGCTGAGCCTTCCACAATTTCTTACAATGATCCATGATCATCTCCTTGGCAATCGGTGCACCAATTTGCTTCTGCTGCACCAGAAATTCGTTAAGGTCAAAATCTTTCCAGCGTACGCTGGCAAACTTTTGCCCACAGATCTGTGTGGGATCCACCTCGATGCTGACCACATGGTTAACCATCAGCTGTTTCACTGTGTCCAGTTCAGCCTGGTCCCATTCCGAGCAAATGCCCAGCACAATGTACTGCGAACAGAGTACCGGAACATTTTGCAGCAGCTGTGGCTGTTTCGAGAAGAGCAGCTGAAACAATGATAAATGATAACTGTGACTTGTGATAGGCAAGGTATTTCATTTTAAAACACTCACATCGTGGCTGCTCACATTTCGCTTGTAGCCATAATCAAGAAACTCTATCTCGACGCGCATCTTACTGCTGCTGCCGCTGCCGCCGCTGCTGTTACTGTTGGCGCTGCCGCGATTGTTCAATTGTTTGTCATCGAGTCCGGCACTAAGCACACGCGTTCGCATATATTCCACATCGCCAGGTGCAGCGCCATTTGTTCGCTTGAAAACGCAAAAGGTGCCAGGTGTGAGTAGGGCCTGTTGACGTTCATTTGACCAACTTGGGTCTATGGCAAAGCAGGTGGGCAGCAGCGTCTCGATGCGCGTGCTAATCAAAAAGGCAGCATCCCGATTGGCCTGCCCATATAGCTTCAAATAGGGTCCAACGTGATCCAAATGCGTTACATATAAATCTACGCTAGACGCGCCACTATTTACGGGCGTCTTGCCGTTCATTCTACAAAATTATTATTGCTGCAAAATTCAATAAAGAAAATATATACAAATCAATCATTAAATATGCAGCGCACAATCTTTCTTTTTTTTGTTTTTTTTTTTTTTTTTTTTTTTGCAATTATCATCCAAAATTTTTGCAAAAATTCAATTTCACTGCAAGCGCTCTCACACATACATATACACATATGTACTACATATAACAGTTAATAGTCAGCACCAGAGTATTTTTTATTGACCCACGTTGACAACTCTATGGCGGAATGCATGAGAAAATAACTGTAAACATGGCCTGTTTCCTGCAAACTCATATGCTCAATAATTTGCACAGGTGTCTGTATGTATGTCGGCAAATTAACATTTTTGCCACACATACAGATTTAATTTACGTTCTACTTCTATCTCATGAGACAAGACAAACAATTAACAAAATTCCAAACTACTTACGTTGTCGTCGTCGTTGTCCAAAGCGAAACTCGGAAAAACACAGCCCCTTGCCTCTGCTCAGCAGCGCCCCCTGTGTGCATCAATATTCACTACAGTCGCCTAGCGGCCAGCTAATTAGTTAATATGTATTTGATCCGCTTTGCTCTTCTGTATTCTGTATACAAATTCTTATTCGTTTCTTATGCTGATGATTTCGGCAGTGTGGCTTACGGGCGAGCTGGCTTTGGCACACTTTTTATTTTCTTTTTTTCGTCTGTTTGATATGTGTGTGCGTGTTTTTCCGCAGTGGCTGTTCAGCACTGTTTGTGTGTGATGTTACTTCGTGTGGTAGAAAGCCTTTCGAGTGTGATTAGAAATCGTTGAGTGTTCAGTCTTTTCAGTTGTTTTGTTTTGTAGTCCTCCAAAAGAAATGTGCTTGCACTGCAAGCGCAACCGCAATTTGTATGTGTTGCAGTAGTCGTAGTTATATCATAAAGCAATTAATCAATGCGAAATAGTATTAAAATTGAAAACTTTTTCTGCCCACCCAGTAACACAGCCCGAGACAACGACGACACGACTGTCGATAACTTAGGTAAAATCGATTGCAATGACAAATCGTGTCAGTGTGACCACATGTAGCATATACCAAAAATCTTGCCGCGCGGAGCAAAAATGTTAACATAACAGAAATATGTTAGGCGGTAAAACTTTGATTTTAAATCAAATTTATTTTTGTTTATTTATTTAATCAATGAAACGAATTTGCAGTTTATTTAGGTGTGGTATGTATGTACGAATAGCCAAGCCATTTTTAATTTGATTACAGTTTATGTTTACAAACTAACATGATTGCATTTAAATGTTTTATGGTTTTTTTATTTGTTATATATTTTGCTATTTTTGTTTTTCAATTCTGTTTAATAAGAATTACATATATATAGATATATATATTTACATATATGCATATACAATAATAATAATAATAATTCTCTTTTTACTTTCAGATCCATTTATAAGGCGCATTCTAAAGTTTTTTTCGCTAAATATATATATATATATATATATATATTTGTATACATAATTACATATATATATATTTATATATGTGTTTTTATGACATTTGACATACAATTAACTCAACAATTAAATTGCAAAAGTTTAAGCAGAGCAAAGATTAAAAAATATAAATTAAAGATAGCTCAAAGATATATATATATATATATATATATATATAAATTGACAAATAATAAAAACACAATGCAACCGATTGACATTTTGAGAGCTATGTGATCTATTACATATATGTATATATATTGAAGGAAAACTCGTTTGCTTTTCCTACTTTCCATTTTATAGTTTTTTTTTTCCATTTTCCTCGTCTTGTTTTACCTACATTTGCGTAACAAACTAAATGCTAAAAAAATATGTTTTTAATATCTAACCAAAGCCCAGCAGCCCGTAGCATCGTCGCGTCTATAATAACGCGGCCGATTGTCCCTGAAGACGGTGACAGCTGGAAATTGATTTTCCTGTATGAATCGTATGGTCGCTCGCACCTGGGATGCAAAGTGCGGCGGCTCCACGTCTGGGCTGGAGGACAAATGCTGCAGCAGAAATTCATCTGTTTGCGATAGCCACAAATCGGCGCCGCGCAGCGGATCATAGTTGAATGGACCAATGCGCAGCATGCCCAGCGTCGAATCATAGATGTCCAACACCTAGGCAGGTAAAAACATAAAAAAACAATATATAATTAAAAGATCTAAACTATTTTAGTTTTGTGTCACGACCTCAAAAAGCAAGCTAGTGGGGAGTGCCTGACTAGCAAATACACTCAGCTACTGTCTCTGTTAAAGAGCAACCCGATTGCACCTAGTATACTAAAGGCTAATGCGATAAAGTTTCTAACAGATAAACTTATGGCATGTATATAGATACTAGAGGTCGCGAGCAACTCAATTTCTTATTCTGTAGCCAATATTAAGTAGCCTTACTACAACGTCTACAAGCTATAAAGTAAGAAGTAAGTAACTATATCTATAACATGCCTAGCTGCTATCATCGACACTGACTATCCCTTGATTCTAATAGCTAGTAGATATAGTTAGAGATATATACGCCTAATTGTGAAGATCCTATTGCTTTCTAAAAGCACTCAATTGTAAAGCTATTTCTTTATAGAGAGCATATGTGTCAAAGCACAACTGGTTTTAGCTACAAATATTAAAGAAAATGGGAAAAAGGAATTCAACATGTGGAAGAGGACGATTCGTTCGTCTCTTGGGAGAATCTATATAATCTATTTATGCGCAGTTAACTGAGGTTTGAGCTGGTTGATGCTAATCAAGAACTTAAATAATAAAACGTATTTAGCTCATCAAACCAGCCTTAGCCATTAATTCTATCCTAATTCCTAGGCTGGCTAATGCTTCTAGCTGCATAGTTGTCTCCCCACTCTAGCCAGTTGAGTATTGCATGATCTGGCTTTCACTCAGATTTCTGCTCATGTTGCCGTACCGTTTGTGAGCCCATAAAGATGCGTGCATCGCGCAGCTGTCGATCGGGTCCTCGATCCGGAAATGAGGCTGGAAAGATTTCGCCAGTCTTAATATTGACGCCAACGCCATAAATAATCGGGCAATTGATCTCGCCACGCAGCATTGTATTTAGCTCGCCCACGCAGGCCTGCGTTAAATCAATTTCAAGATGATGCTTGTGGAATGATTCTAAAGGAGCAATAGAAAGAGAGAGAGAGAGTGGCTGAGTTGGTAGTACTTTGACTGAAGATTGAGTTACTCACGCATAATGCTATAGAAGACATCCTCGCCATAGCCCTGCGAGTCCCGGTAGCCGCCAATGAGCTGCAATTCGATGCGTCCCTCGGGATAGCCAAGTGCCAGCTCCTGGACACGTGATACCATAGTGCAGACAGCTTCATCCACGCCGCTGCCATCGAAATGCGCCAAGGCAACAGCACCAGAGCCTGTCGAGAGCGGGCAGTTCAGTAAGTTGTGCCAAATTCTATATATGTAAATGCGACTCACCTGAATGCCGCACAACAACAATAATACAGGTGGTGGCATCGTCGGCGCCAATAATGTTAATATTCTTGTCATGGGGCGCCGCTGCGGCCAACTCCCGCTGGCCCACATAGAGCAGGCCCACTGGGCCAACGGACTTGGCCTGTATTGAGTGCAGCTGATGGGCGTAGTCTCTGTAGACGGGATGCTGCAGGAACAGGCTGTTCGTGTCCATGGGGCAGTCATCCTGCAGCACACCATTCAGCACAAGCACCATTCTGTTATCTGTTGCAACGCTCCGCTCTAGTCTCAGTTATCAACGCCTCCACCAAACAGCTTCGATTTCAATTACGCCGAGTTCTCTTGGCCCCTTAAGACGAGTAGCAGCCAGCTGTAAGTGCAGAAGAAGCGTGGAGTTGGCCATTATTTGACTTGCAATACAATCTTATTCTTTTCATTTTTCTCCCTCTCTGTCTCGCTTGCCACAGACAACGAGCAGCATAAAAATCAATTTACGATGCGACTCCGCCACGAAGATGGCAGCCAAAAGATTTGCATTCTTGATAATAATTTTTGAAGGCACTGAAAAGCAACTCGCAGGCAATCTGAGCCACAACTGGGCGTAGCTTGAATACCCTAACAAAAGTTAATGGGGAGGAGGCAGTTAAGGGTTATACGATCTAGAGTTTGGATGTTGCTTAGATGAGGTCCTAGCTTATGCTCTTCATCTACCATTCTTTCTCCTACTGAAGGTTAGTTCTTATACTCATATAAGCTAGGAGTAAAATTCAAATTATAGTGCAAAATATTTTGAGAATTTCAATATATATATGAACTTTTTTGTTTCACATATAGATGGACGGTTATAACTCATAAATAGGTAGCATTAAATCCAAGTTATTCAGCAAGTTTTCCATTAAAAAATTACATTTTCAATAGGATAGTTCTTTGATTGAAATATCTCACAGAACACAAGTTTTTCCTATTAAAACAAAATTTTAAGTCGATTTTTCATGAGTGCTCTAAGCTTTAGTAGGCAAAGAGTTGTATGAATTATATATGTATTTAAGTTGATTATTGAAAAGGTCAAAATATGTCGCAAAACATGAGTTTTCTTATATTAGAATGACAATACCAGATGATATAGTAAGGGATTTCTGAAGAGACAGATAAGAAACAACTTCTGAATATATATCCCTAGCTGAATCAGTTTTTCAAACAAGCAAACAATTTATGCCCTCTCTATATCAAAAAAGCTATATAATAGAGCTATTTTAGTTAGTTGTTTAAAGTGCTTCCGACTCTAACTAGACAGCGTCTCAAACACAGTTGCGCTACAAACTGCCTATAAAAATGATCAAGCTCTCTCTTTCTCCCTATCTCCTCCTCCCCCCATCCCCCTTTCTCCCTCTCATACAAAAGCACATACAATAAATGTAAAAATATGGGTAGCTGTTAGCTGTATGCCAGCTCGAGGGCGTTTCCTTTGCTACGCTGAGAGCTGTCAGTGTCGAGCTACACCTGGTCCCCACTCTCAGGCCCCTTCCCTGCATTCCCCTCTCCCAGCCACAATTGAACCAGGCTCGTAAATTTCGGCTGGCCCTTGCAATGCTAAATAAAAATGTCATAGCTGTTGCTGCAGGCGATATTATATATTAAGCTCGTTTATTCAGTTTCTTTCGCTGAGATATATATGCTTTATAAACGAAATTGGTTCCGTTTGTCTGCCCTGATAGGCGCAGCAGGAGGAGCGGGAGGAGTGCAAGTGCTGCCCTGTAAATCTAATAAAAAAAGAAAATAATTATTGAGGCCACACTTTGGGTCAACAATTAGTTCGAGTCGCATATGAAGAAAGCTGTTGCATGTGCCACAACGCGCTGTTGGCGTCAATTGATGCCACACCAAAAGTCACAAATGTCACACAAAAGTTAATAACAATTAAGTGACTCTACTGGCTGAACAACATCAGCAATGAGAGCAACAATAAATTAACGATCCGATTGACGTTCCATAATTTAATTAAAATGTCATTTACAAACACTTGGCAAATAGACGAAGAGGGAGAAAGCCGTGAGAGGGAGGGATGAGAGAAAGGCTGACAGCTTAGGAGCGGAGAAATAGATCTTAGATCCCAGCAAGAATTCATTTGTTTCGATAGGACAAACAGACGCACGGAGGAAAAGACCGACGGATGGACGGTCGGATGTTTGTAATGATAGACGGACAGATGCACAGACAGACGGACGAACAGACGGAAAGACGAACGGACGGATGGATGAATGGACGTCCGTACGTCCGTACGCCTGACTGAATGAGTTACTTACGGACGTACAGGTGTAGGAAGGATGGGAGGGAGACTGAGAGGGTGTAAGTGACGGATGGACGGACAGACTTGACTGACTGACTTACTGACCGACTGGCAAGCGGAGGGAAGTAGGAAGGAAAGAAGGAAGAAAGGAAGGAAGGAAAGAAGGAAGGAAGGAAGCGAGGGAGGGAGCGAGAGGAAGTGGCGGCCGGATGGACGGACTGGCAAGGGCGGAGGAAGGAAGGAAGGAAGGAAGGAAGGGAGTAAGAGCGAGTGA